CTCTGCCGTACCCAGGGGGGTGTTGGGGTACCCGGTTTATCAAGCCCGGCCGGTTGCGACACCTCCCGTCACACCGTTGGCCGGGTGTGCGGCTTGCTCGTTCAGCAGCGCGACCCGGTGCGTCGTGCCACAGGCCTCTGAGGCCAACCTGCCTCGTACCCAGGCAGATGACAGTGGGGCGATGAGCTAAAGCGCTCACTGGGGGCCCGGAACCGAAGAGGGGAACTTCGCTCGGTTTAGTGTCCCGAAGAGGGAGACGGCCCAAAGAGCCCCTGACTGCAAATCTCTCCAGAAGGCGAGAGTGATGCGCCCTCGCTAGTTTGGTTGCTCCGGGGAGGCACCCCTCTTGCAGCCATCGCTGCCGAGTGACTGGGGAGGCCACAACGACTCTGCCAGGCAAACACTTGCATCCATGCAATCAAGCAGAATGTTTTGCTTCCGACTGAGACTGTAACGCCATAATATGGCAACCGCTTTCCTTGTAGCAGCTTTACCATATGCTACCAAAGCGACTCCGCTTCTGCTCCTCACTGGGGCTGTCCACAGGCAAAGCTAGTCAGGAAGCTCACAGGCTTCGGCCAGAGGCTCACGGCACACTCGAGGCCTTGAGACGTGTCTGTGAAAGTCCAGTACTTTGTTTGTGCCTTTTCGACCAGCGCTTCTTCGGAACCTGATGGAAACTCTCTGCCGTACCCAGGGGGGTGTTGGGGTACCCGGTTTATCAAGCCCGGCCGGTTGCGACACCTCCCGTCACACCGTTGGCCGGGTGTGCGGCTTGCTCGTTCAGCAGCGCGACCCGGTGCGTCGTGCCACAGGCCTCTGAGGCCAACCTGCCTCGTACCCAGGCAGATGACAGTGGGGCGATGAGCTAAAGCGCTCACTGGGGGCCCGGAACCGAAGAGGGGAACTTCGCTCGGTTTAGTGTCCCGAAGAGGGAGACGGCCCAAAGAGCCCGTGACTGCAAATCTCTCCAGAAGGCGAGAGTGATGCGCCCTCGCTAGTTTGGTTGCTCCGGGGAGGCACCCCTCTTGCAGCCATCGCTGCCGAGTGACTGGGGAGGCCACAACGACTCTGCCAGGCAAACACTTGCATCCATGCAATCAAGCAGAATGTTTTGCTTCCGACTGAGACTGTAACGCCATAATATGGCAACCTCTTTCCTTGTAGCAGCTTTACCATATGCTACCAAAGCGACTCCGCTTCTGCTCCTCACTGGGGCTGTCCACAGGCAAAGCTAGTCAGGAAGCTCACAGGCTTCGGCCAGAGGCTCACGGCACACTCGAGGCCTTGAGACGTGTCTGTGAAAGTCCAGTACTTTGTTTGTGCCTTTTCGACCAGCGCTTCTTCGGAACCTGATGGAAACTCTCTGCCGTACCCAGGGGGGTGTTGGGGTACCCGTTTATCAAGCCCGGCCGGTTGCGACACCTCCCGTCACACCGTTGGCCGGGTGTGCGGCTTGCTCGTTCAGCAGCGCGACCCGGTGCGTCGTGCCACAGGCCTCTGAGGCCAACCTGCCTCGTACCCAGGCAGATGACAGTGGGGCGATGAGCTAAAGCGCTCACTGGGGGCCCGGAACCGAAGAGGGGAACTTCGCTCGGTTTAGTGTCCCGAAGAGGGAGACGGCCCAAAGAGCCCGTGACTGCAAATCTCTCCAGAAGGCGAGAGTGATGCGCCCTCGCTAGCTTGGTTGCTCCGGGGAGGCACCCCTCTTGCAGCCATCGCTGCCGAGTGACTGGGGAGGCCACAACGACTCAGACGCCATGACACTGAGCAGGGTGTGCGCGTTGCACACAGGACGTGTCCCGCTTTTTGGGCGCACTGGCTCCTGAAACCCATGAGCACAGGTTAGACGTTTCCCAAAAGGTATTGTCTTAGTTGACCAGTCGAACCCCCATGGTTTTGTCTTGATTTGCTGCTTAGAAAGCATTTCGTCCCCTGCATTCCCATCCCTGACCCCTCATGCCGGCCGAGCACACGGTTGCATTTGCATTTGTCCGGCGCCATCCAAAACCGACCTTCTCCTTTTGGGTGAAATGGCAGCGCCTTTGCCCAGAATGCATGCATTGGCCGCCATCAACGCTTGTAGCATCTTTACCATATGCTACCAAGCGACTCCGCTTCTGCTCCTGACTGATGGGGCTGTCCACATGCAAAGCTAGTCAGAAAGCTTATCGCATTCGCGATGCCCCAAAGTACAGGCTGGACATGATTTCGTCTGCCGGCCTCAAGGATGGTGTCTCAACTGCGCAAAAACAAACTTGCAACCTTTCCACAACATGCTGTAAACGACAACTCGGGTTACGTGTCTTTGGTTCGCAATGTTGGGTCCCAATGGTCAAACCTCATGTTTCCCCCTTCCTGGAGTCTCCATGACCCTTGAGACTTAACACATCCAGTCCAAAGTCGCCGGGGTCACCTGAGCCACAATCAAAACCCGGGTAGATGAAGGTTAGTCAGCCATAAGTAGCTGCGGATATCCGCCTTCTTAGTTCCTGAAGCATGGTTCTGGTTCGACCATTTCAATCCCGGGTTTTGAGCAAGTGACTCATGTTTCCCCCAAACTTGGAGTCTCCACCCCACTGAACACAACCCCAAAGTCGCCGGGGTCGCCCGGGCGCCTTTTCTCGGAGACTCGGAAGGGCGCCGGACCTCCGGACCGGGCGCCCTTCGGACCCGTCGAGTGCTCGGAGGCCTCATCACCCGGGAGGAGAGTCGTGTCTCCAAGGACGTGGAGAAGCAGCTTCTGCGCTCCAAGGCTCGACCAGGGCGTGGCTCAAAACTAAGCAGGGGGAGGGGGGCAAACCGCAGGTTTTGAAGTCCATGTTTCCACTTACCGATCGGGCAACCCAATTTGGAGTTCCGTTTTTTTTTTTGAGCCACAGCCACATGGGCCGAAGAGGGAAAGGTTCGAGCGGCATGGGCTCTCACGCTTGACTGCTACTGGGCAACGGATCTTTGGACTTTAAAGCTTTTTGGTTGAAATATTGGGGTGCTTTCCGTACTAACCTCCCCAAAAGTTAAACTTCTTGCAGTATTGGGGTGCTTTCCGTACTAACCCCCCCAAAAGTGTTTTAAACACTTTTTGCAGGGGGCGTTGCCAAGCACGGCACTTTCCTCTTTCAAAGCTTCAACCTGTGAATTTCAAAGGACAAGGAGAGCAGGGATGGCTATGAATTTCAATCAAAGCTTCGTTTGACATGGTTGGATTTTTTGGTGCTCCCGGCCGAAGGGGAAGGTTGTCAAGATCACAACTCCAGCTGTTCAGTGGTACCCTTCAAATCCCTTTTTAATTGGTGGGATCCCCACCAAAAAACAGAGGGTTCCTTTTTCCTACCGGCGTGGGCAGCTGGGAAACTGCTTTGGGCAGATGCACCTGTCCTTTGGGGGCGGTGTCAACTGCAATTGGTGTGGCAAAACGTGCGGTAGACTCCTTGAATACCAGCTTTTGATCATGACAGCTTTGGCCTAAGCTGAGTTTCCAGGTAGCTCCCGCAGAGATCCAGCCTCAAAACGGTCGCTTCGATCCATTCCGCAGGCGATCCCAACTAGATGTGAGCGCCCACAACCCGGGGCCGAAATATTATTTTACGACCATGGTAGAGCCAAAAACGGAAAACAAACGGCACGAGGCTTCCGGGTTCCGGCATAGGTTGCAGTTCAGTGGCGTCTCTGCCCTTTTGTTTGATGCGGCCTTTTTCACAAGAGTCTAGGGGTATCTTCCCATTCTTTCCAGGGATCCCGATCTTTCTAGCAAACCACCCAAAACTCTGGTCGGAAATGGCGATCGGTTTTTGAAAAGAATGATGGCTGAAAAACATGGACAAGGAATCAACCCCACAACCCGGCATAGGTCGCAGTTCAGTGGCGTCTCTCCCCTTTGGGTTGATGCGTGTTGTTTTTTTTCTTGACAGGAGTGTAGGGGTGACTTCCCATTCTTTCCAGGGATCCGGATCTTTCTAGCAGACCACCCAAAACCCTAGTTGGAAATGGCGATCGGTTTTTAAAAGGAAGGATGGCAGAATGAAATAGGGAATCAACCCCCAGATATTATGTTCCTGTGCGATCATCAAAACATTTTATTCCTGCAACTATGCACTACTGTGGATGGACGAAATCCTGCACCACCTAAGAAACCCTGGAACCATGTTTCCCCTGTACATACCATCAACCATTTCTTTCCGTGGTTTCCAAGTGGTGCGAAACGGATTTTGCAACCATCCACAGTATGACTCTTGGAATCGACCCCTAGAAAGAGGGTCCCTTTCTCAGGGCTCCTTAAAATAAATTCATTTTGCAACCATTTGAAACATGGCTTTTCCACCACAATAAAGGGAAATCACCATTTACAAGTTGCAATGTTCAGGTGTATAATGTAAGGATCCCTGTTTCTCTTGGCGACCTGGGACGTGGCTTGTGCCAGGTGGAACTGGACTGGCTGCAGCGCAAAGTGCGGCCAATGATCAAAGTCCTGAAGCACTTGATTCGAGACAAGGCCATGGGTTGCACAAGCTATGGCGAGTGGCTCAAAAAAAACCGGTACCAAATGAAATTGAACCTTGGGGCCGTGGCTCAAAAAGCCCGGACAATTCCAAATGGGTTGCCCGATCGGTAAGTGGAAACATGGACTTCCAAACCCGCGGAATTAACCCCTCCGATCGTTTCATTTTGAGCCAAGGCCATGGGTCGCATAAGCTCTGGCGTTTGCCATTTTGAGGCGGAACATCCACTGGCCGCCGTTTGTTTGATGTTTGTGAGGGTACAGGGTTTTGACTCACAGCCGCAAGGCGCGAACTCGATTCTTTTGTTGATTTGACTAGCCCTCTCGATGAATATGGTAGAGTCGACCGCGATCTTTTGCCTCAAACCAACTCCGCCCTGGAGTACAACCTGCATGTGACCTGATGTCAGGTGTTTAAAGAACTGCGTGAACCGCTCTCAAAAACAAACAAAGGTCAGCGGAGATGCAGAGTGAGGGCACAGAAAAGTCGCTGGCAGACAAGATGTGGAACGTGCATGGCAAGAAGATCAGGGCGCGGCATCAGAGTCATTCTGCACACTGCATCGCTGCTGTCACACTGCATTTGAACGCTTTGAAGGCCATTGACCCGAACGTCACACGCTATCTCGAAGACATCGAAGACCACCTCAATACTTTTCTGGAGGAGGCGGGTAGGGTTTGTTATCCACCGCAGTTGTTGTTTCTTGTTTTTCGGGCCATCTTTCTTTCAACTGGGCAAGGTCTCACTGCTTGGGTCGGCGTTTAAAGTAGCTTGCTTTCCAAGTAGCACCGCAAGAGCAAGATGTAGGCGAGCCAGTCGCCGGTAAATCCCTGAGTTGCAAGCAGGGTTGGGCAAATTCGGTCTAAAGAAACGGAGTACGGAAACCCGCAGGTTGTCTAAGCAGTGGGTTAATTTGATGCCTGCCCGCGCCCACTAACAGTCACATAAAGATCATGAAGAGAGGCAATGAATCTAAATGCTCATCAACCACTCTTAGTGGGAGGGGGAAGAGCCCGGGTTTAATCACGTTCAGACACTCCTTCCCTGCTTGTAGGGTTGAATCGGCACGGGCTGCAGGTCAGCCGCATCATGGGCGTTTGCAACTCCTTGAGGGACGAAGTGAACTCCTACCGAGATCGGCAACAGCAGAAGGCGGCAAATCGATTTGCACCTGACCAGCCGGAAATGACATGGGTGTTTCTCAGAATGGTGGACCCTTTGGGTTGTTATTCAAAGGGAAAAGGGAATCCGTTGCCATCTTAGGGGGCCACTATCGGTAGTGGTAGTGGTAGTAGTAGTAGTAGTAGTAGTAGTAGTAGTAGTAGTAGTAGTCGTAGTCGTAGTCGTAGTCGTAGTCGTAGTCGTAGTCTTAGTCCATCGTCGTCGTCGTAGTAGTCGCAGTAGTCGTAGTAGTAATAGTAGTAGTAGTAGTAGTAGTAGTAGTAGTAGTGGTGGTGGTGGTGGTGGTGGTGGTGGTGGTGGTGGTGGTGGTGGTGGTGGTGGTGGTGGTGTGGTAGTGGTAGTGGTAGTAGCAGCAGCAGGCAGCAGGCGCCGCCGTCGTCGTCGTCCGCAGTCGTAGCCGCAGTTGTGGGAATCCAAACGGCCAATTAGAGAGAAGCTGATGTTAGGGGTCTTGACAGACCTCGTGCAGCCTGCGGCCTCACACACTGTCATCTCATTTTGGAAATGGGGGGTTCACTTCAGGAAATCGGATTTACTCACCTAAATTCCCATGTCAGTTGGCGAATGAGTATCGACTCAACCCTTCCAATCCAAGCGGTTTCTTGCAAAACCCTCCGATCCTCAACTTCATGGTCGGACAAAGGCGAGTCCATAGGCTGGCCTGGTTCTTGCCGGGTTTCGAAAGGCCGCTTCGCTTGAATCTCTTTTCCAGGGTTCCATTGCAAGCCCCAGGGACTTGGAAGCCCGGCAACCCAGGGGACCTGGGTTGAGTTCCGCCAAAAGTGGTTTGCTCAAATGGAAGCCCTGTCTAGGTGCTCTACGTTTTGACCCTGGTAACGACCCTGGTGATGCCCACACACCTGCTCACCGGCATCTTTGGGATGAACTGGCAAGATGAGGCGCGACCTGCCCGGCGAGAAGTCGGGGGATTTTTGATGTCCAGAAGCATCCCACACGGTCCAAACCACCACACCACCACACCAAACCACCAACTAGAGGCGGCAAGCTGAGCACTGTCCTGCTTCCTGACGGCAATTTTTGTCTTTGTGTGTCTGGACCATCTGAGTGGTAAAAGCGCGAAGTTCGGGGGCTGTTTTATTGCCAGGTTGCTCGATTGTGGTCCTTGCGAGACCCTCCCCCCCGAGCGTCAGCCCCAAGCCAGACTTCCCAGGGGTTCCCCTGAAGAAAAATACCCGGAGGTAAGTCCACCGGGTCAAAAGCTTCTTTATTTTTTATTTTTATTTTTTTTGGGGGGGGGGTTGAAATAGCTGGATTGAAGCCCACGAGGTCAGAATCGTTTTGAATTTTGCACCCTGAGGGAACTCAATCAGATTTCAGTCCACCGCGGTCCAAAACGTTTTCTTTTGGCACCCCCAAATCCTATAACACACGCCGCTTTGTTCAAAAATGTGGAACCCCGGACAGCCGAAGTTTGCTCAGGAGGGTAAGCCTGTGGTGCCCGGGCTTGGCGTCATGGAGGAGAAAGCAGCGATCGACTCAAGCCCCTTCCCCATGGTTTCAACCGCTGTTTTAGCAGCCGCCTTTTGGCTTCTACTTTAGGGGGACCAAAGCTTGGTTGTTGAAAGCATAGCTCTTAACCCGTTGTTTTTGAGCCATAGCGTCAATCATTTTCGCCTTGTTGGCTCCCGTTCTCGCCCAAATTTATTAGGTGATCTCTGAAAGGGACATGGGAGAATCAGTGAGTCTCCAAGTGTTCCGAGTTTTTGCAGTTGTTAAACCATGATTTCAACAAAAGTCCAGCAACAACCAAAGGGTTTAAGACAAGACTAGGGCCCCCTTGCAAAGCCCGGGACGAGGGCGAGGGTTGAGCCATTGTTCAAACCTTACCCGATTTCCAATTACGCAGTGAACGTTTTGGCCTTTTGAAGATGGCAGTCTGCAGTCTTCCAAAAAGCCCGTGCAGATGAATGACTGGAAGGGTTGTGGGTGTGGCCAAATCGCCCCTTTGCAGTTTAATGGGACACACATGGCGTTTCCATGAGAACTTCCACAGGTCCATCTCGAACTCTTGCTCGTTCGGGAGGCTTAGAGCCACCCAGAACTTTGGGACCCGCAAACAAAATGTCTTCTTTTTTTTTTTAAATAGGGGACACCCCTTTAAGGGGTTTTGTGTGGCCACTCCTTTTCAGGAGAGCCGCGGCTACTTCCTGTTCTGGGGTGCCCTTCGGCCAGTTGGATCCGAGAGAATCACGAATCGCTTTCAGCCTGAGGCTTCCGGAGGTCTGAAGGCTTCCAGCTTTTGGACATGGGGTCACGGTCGGATGCGGAAGAGGAATTCGGGTTCCAAATCTCGGAACCCGAGGAGCGTTCTGTTTGGATAGCACTTACTCGGTGCCCGGCTTGAGAACTGGGTATGGGTCAACATTTTAAGCCAGGATATGGACCGCTTTTTTTAGTCATTGGTTCCATTTGCCAGGGCAAACCATTTTGGGGTTACCTGATTTTTGACCAGCCAACTGGTTTTTGGAGGGAGAAGCCGAAAGTTGAAAGCGTTTTGTGGGATGCTATGTTGACGCAGACCCGAATGAGGTGTTTCTTTGGCACACGGAAATTGTGGTGGCCCCTGCCCAAACAAAGCAACGCTCGCTTGGGCCATTGGTCAGGGCTCCTCAAGAGAAAAACATTTTGCAACCATTTGAAACATGTTGCTTTTTCAACACCAAAACAAGGGGCAACACCACAATTTACAAGGCAATGTTCAGGTGTATCGTGCAAGGATTCCTGTTGGTGTGGGAGAGCAAAGTGGGACTTCGCCAGGTCTCGCGATAACTCTGACGGCATTGATCTGGTTCACCTTCTCGCGAGTCCTGAAGTGGATCTAAGCCTCGGCAAAGGCTTGAGTGGGGAGCATGGGGGTGGATTTCCCCGCTTTTGCGAGCAGCGTTCTTGTCCAAAACTCGCGGTTTCCGTGGCACTTTCCGGGAACAAGACCTCCCTGGAAAGAACGTGGAAGCCACCCCCAGCGGCCCTTAGAGCTTCGAACGCACAGCGCGAAGCTCGCAACCCCGCGTTTTGACGGGATGCAAGCTAGCTCGCGCCGCCCGGGATGTCCAGGACCAGTTTTCCAAACTGGATGTTGTCAGTTCATTTCTCATGTGGCGAAGCCTTCGCCATCGCCTGCTTCATGCTGTTCATGTCTCAGGCTTGCTAATTAGCCTTTTCTCTCTGGGCTTCAGGGCTGGCCCGCCCGACTTTTGAGTGAAATTTGTACCTCCGTCGGCTTTGCTGAGGAGTAGGACGCGCAAGGATTTAAGCCTTGCCTTGTCATAGCTCAAGACCCCGGTGGTCGAGCAGGATGCGACAAGCCGCAAGCTGCTTTTTGTGGCAAGTCTAGGTCATGTGAATGCGGATGAACTGGGCGTGCCCGTCACCTGAGGATTTCCCACGCTTGGTCATGTCTTGGATCCCTGAGGGTCTGATAAGTTATTGCTTGAGCCCTCAATATTTTCCGCCCGCTTCATCCGTCCCAACTGGGTATCTGGTCTATATATATATGGTATATATGTATATACTATATATGGTGTATATATCTACATGGGTGTTGTGGCAGGATAGAACCCGGCAACAGGTTTTGCCTGCCTGCAATCGCTCGTGCAGCTTCGATGATTCCAAAGTTGGCACCCGGGTTTTTGAAGCTGAGTCCGTGGCTATGTGAGCTTGGCGCGGGGCGGGGGCATCCACTGAGAGTTCAACCAACAGCCACACGTCCAAGGTCCGGGAAATGAATTCGCAGAACGACTTGCTATAAGATATTTATTTCTTTGATTTGGGTATAATATATTTTATTAAGACATCTTTATTAAGATACTTTTTGAAATTAGGTGGGTTTATTAATTTTGAAATTAGGTGGGTGAGTGCGTTCTTCAAAGGCGCGGCACGAAAGGGAATCAAAAGGAAAGCCGAGAACTCTGCCCTTTGAGAGCCGTAGCTCATGCTTTCCATTTGGCCATGGCTCCTCTGTTCCCTCGCCCGGGCAGAGTGTCAGGCGGGCCAAGCTGGGGCCAGCTGGGAACTGCCGGTTTGGCAACGACTAGGTCCCCCAGCTAGGTGCCCTTTGTCACCCCTTGTTTTGGTTGGTAGGCTTCCCCCAGCTAGGTGCCCTTTTACCGTTTCTTTTGGGGGGAGGGTTCCCCTAGTAAAATAGAGTACAGAAAAAGGAGGTACCAACTTATTCTAGCCTCTCTCTTTGGAGGACCTGCCGAGCAACTGGGGCCGGCCGTGACCTTAACCCAACATTTGATTTTGAGTTCTGTTGGTGGGGTCCGTTTAGGGGAACAGCCCCTTGACTTTGTCGGCGGAAACCTTCGTCCAACCTTTGGTGAACATTAATGTATGTTTGGATTTATGCTCCCTGACATTCTCTGGAGGATATATATATATATATATACACATATTTATTAACACGATACAGGCATTGCCATCTTTGTTGAAGGGGCTCGTCTGGGTGTGTGGACTCTTTTTTGGATTGTGTTTAAAGGGCATGGACGGAAACGGAAGCCAACTTTTGTGGGCTGCATCTTCCGTTTGGAGAACACCACAGCGCTCCCTAGATGTCCCTTGTCGGGTAATTTAATCATCAACTTTTGGGCCATTTTCGAATGAGAGTCCTTTGGTGAAATGATGTTACAAGGGGACATCTAAAGAACTCTGCCAGACCCTAAAGAAGCAAGTACCCATAGCACCCTAAAAGAGGTGGTTACGAGCTTGACTCTGAGATCTCATCCTTACTGGCTTCCAAGGATGACATATGGGTATTAAACTAGAACCTCAAAATTGTCGCTTTTCCTTTCGGTCCATGCCACAAAACCGAGGCTGTGGTGGTCAAATCCGTTTTGGGATCCCATTTTGGTTGGTAGGTGAATTCACCACCCATTTTTTCGTCGATTTTCGTGGGATTGGCTTTCCCGATGTTCACTGGGGGTGCGATTTGGCATTCGACCCATGGCCGGAGATCCCTGGGCGAAAAAATCTGAGCCAAAGACCGACGCTTTTTAGCCAAGCTCCTGCACCAGGTGCCCAGGGCGGAGCACACCATGTACCCCCCCTGCGTGGAGGGCTTTGCTGTGCCGGAGGGGGGCTCTTGCACCCCGCTCTGCGTGCCAGGCGCTTGTTTTTTGTTTTTTGCTTTTTTTTTGCGGGGTTGGGGGGGTGTTTTTTTTTTTTTGGGGGGGGGGATGGGTGCATGGTTTTCTTGAGATTTGTTGGCTTGAGCTGCGCGGTGGACAATTGGGTACTAGGTACGTGGTTGTGGAAGTTTGTGGGCTTTTGGTTGCCACTTGCTGTGCTAGGAGAATCTATGGGATACGGCGTCATGGGAACCCACTTGGTGCAAAAAGGGTGGCAGGGCTCCAGTCTGACAGACGGACGGTGCTCCGATTCAAAGTTGGTAAGCGGGATCGGTCCGATGGATCGGTCCTCAAGCGGGGTTTCGCACAAACGTGGAAGCCGGAAAACCAGCGCTTGATACCCTCACTTCTGAAAGCGGGGTTTGCCAAACCGAACCCCAGCCGGATGGCGTACCAGTTTTCCTGGAAAGCGCTTGATGTCCAGGGGTCGCGTCAGGGGAGGGTTAAGTCTGAATGTGGGTAGTCCTCTTTAGAAGAACATGCGGCATTTAGCGGATAACACGCTGAAAGTGTAGCTTTCCTGAGGGCTCCCGATATTTCCCCTTTTGGGTGGTTCAAACCTCGCCTTTTGGGACTAAAGCGGAGCGGGCGTGGCGGACAGTTACCCAGTGGCAACACTCGGTCAAGCTCAGAACCGGGCGTGACTCGGTCCCTTGATTTGTGTAGAGGCTACACGCCATACGAGAAGAAGCTCACCTGCAACAACGGCGCACTCAGCTTGGGTGGCCGCTTGGTCGCATTTGAAAGCCCGTCCTTTGGACAGCTTTATGCGTCATGCCCTGAATACATGTGAGTGGCTTGAATCTTTTTCCTGGCCATTTCCATCTAAATGTCACAGGTGACGTTGGGTTCATCGGTTGCCATTTTTCTAGGGGTTGATTTCCCATTCTGTTCAACCATCGTTTTTTTTCAAAAACCGGATCTGTTTCCCCTGCATTTTTGATGGTTTCCTGAAAAGATTCGGATCCCTGAAAAGAATGGGGAAAGTAAGTATACCCCTAGAATTTTGAGCACATGGAAGAGATGGGCGGGCTCTAGGGGTTGATTTTGCCATGCAACCCCCTGGAATTCTGCCATGGAACTCCTAGATTTTCCATCATCGGACAACGCGACAAAGCGGCTGTGAGGCATCATCCACTGCCAGCCCGACTGCGCAGCACCTGAGATTCAGGGCACAGACGCGCCTTGTGCAGAGGGCTGCTCGGCCCGTCGGCGTGCGAACTTCGGGTTCGGGGCGGCTTTTTGGCGTGGGCTTGTCGCCAAAAAAGAGGACCCCAAACAAAGTGGGCGTGGCTCAAAATTCAGGAGCTAGGGCCAACCGCTGGGTTTTAGTCTTTGGTTCCTTTTGCCAAGAGGGCCATTTGAGCATATCGTTTTGAGCCACAGCCATGTGGGTTTCCTTGTAGTCTCCCTTCAAACCAAGAAGGGGCAGGGGAAGCAGCTGCTGGCAGAGGTGTCCTGGAAACAGACACGTTTATCGGGGAATCCGCCTGCATCGGTTTCCTCTAGGTCAACTTCTCTCCCAAAATGAAGGGGCAAAGGGAGGGGTTCCACGGTCAGTCCAGGCTCGAAAGGGGCCGAAGCTGAATTGACTGCTATTGGGCAACGGATCTTTAGACTTTAAACTCTTTGATTGAAATGAAGGTGTTTTCCACTAAGCCCCCAAAAAGTCAAAAAACATGTTTTGGTGCTTAAATGAAAATCTGGACTCTTTTTTTCCTGGGGCCTTAACCAAATAGAAGCAGCTGAGGCACGTCCATACCGGAAGGCGGCAGCTGCACGCCGGTGTGCAACGGCAGTGTGCCGCTGGACGAGCGCCCGCTCCTCTGCCGCAGCGGGCAGCTGTCCCCGCCCAGCTTCGCGTGCCGCTGGGGATAAAAATGGCAGATATTTTCTGGACTCTTCCCCTGGACACTTTGGCTTGGGGGTGGGGCCTTATCCAAATGGAAGCCTGAGTCTGAAAAGGTTTGACAGCGGCATGGGAACACCCCCTTGGGGTGGTAGCTGATGCTAAACCCAGACCTTCAGAGGCATAGGTGTCCTTTTTGGTTGTTTTGGTCGAAAAAAATAGATGGCGATCCCTGGTTTACCTGGTGGTTTCATCATCTACCAGGGAAACCCATCTATTTCCCCTAAAAGGACACGAACCAACAGGGCTTTGTTGCCTTTTGCCAAGGGATGTTAGGACTTGAACTTGATGAAGCCACTAAAAGTTGATTCAACTTTTAGCGGGGGAGCAGATTTCGCAACCGAGAGGGGAGATTCATATTTGTTTTTCCAAGAAACCCAAAAGGGGATGGATGTCTTTTCGGTTTTTCCAAGCGGAGCGGACGGTTTTTCGTTGGTTTCCAGACCTCTTAGGCCGTCCCTTCCGGTGCCTCCAAGCGCCGGGGATGTTTTCGGACGCCCAGCATCCCAGCACGCCGTTTGCGGCACTCAAGGGTGCGGTGCCCTTGTGGAACCAGACGTTCCCAGATGGCGCCGACTACCCGGCCGAGGCTGCGGGTAAGGAACAAATCCGTCGGAGGGAATTCCGGGAAGGAGTCGTTCTTTTCCTTGAGGGAAGTGCATTTCTGTTTTTGGAAGATGTGATTTCGGGGTTGGAGAGGACTTCCGGAATGGAATCATCGTGTAAGGCGAGTTTAACTTGGGAGATGTTCTCATTTTTTCCGTTGTTGCCTTATCCAGCGTCATGGAATCTGACTACCATTGGATGGTTCTGCCCAAGTTTGGCCTGGTGGATTCCATGGTGGATCCTTGGCCACCTGAGCGCCCAAAGCCGACTCCTATTGGATATTGGGTGGTTCCACTACCCAATGTGGGCGGCAAGGTCTACGTAGACGGCTACCACCATGGTAGAGCCATGCACCAAAAACGTCAATGGTTTGCTAAGTCCCTTAAAGTGAGCATGTCGAGGGCTGCTCAAGTTTGCTTTGGGGGTGAGTTCCCTTTTGAACCGCCATTGAGAGTTGGCAGCTTGACGTCACTTCAATGGACCCAAAAGAGGTGGCGCTCAAATGAGATAGTCGCAGGCGGTCTGCGACTCTGCGGCAGCTGCTTCTGTGGTCAGCGGCAAGGGCTGCAGCACCTGCTGCTGGCTCGCACTTCCCCTTTTTCTAAGGGTTGATTCCTTGTCCATTCTTTCCAACCTTCCTTCTTTTCGAAAACCGGCCGTTTCCCTGGGTTTCCAGGGGTTTTCTAGAAAGAAGGATCCCTGGAAAGAATGGGGAAGGTAGCGCTAGACTTTTGGGCTGGTTTACACTTATCATCTTTTGGGGTTGCTTTATTTTGAGGGGTCCCTGTTGGCAGGCGATGGCCAGCATGTTTTTCCCGTGGATGCCGCGGTCACCCCTACCGCGTGGGCCGACCCATAAGTGACATTCTGCCGGCCATGAGGCTTCGCAATCAAGCCGCTCTACCCCGTTCACTCGTCGCAACATTTGCGCCCTTGACTGTCACGTGCAGATTGTTGCTTGACCCAGTCAGATTGCCGACTTGGTTGTCTCGCCCTAGGCCTCTCAAATATTGGAAGGCGTGGCCGCTTTGGTGTTTGCCTCGTGAGGTGGCCAGCCCTGCAAGAGGGCTCCTTCCCTTCTGGCCATATCGGCGACCCTTTTACAGCCCAGTGTCTCGAAGAAGCAGCCCGCAACTTTCTCGAGCTGGCGTGCACGTTTGGGCCAAGGGGGCACGCGACGGAAAAAGCGCTTGCGTGAGCGAAAGCAGCAGTCAGGACAACGTGACCAGCGTGTTTGCCCGTGGATGCCGCAGCTTTCGCAGGCCCGCCCACCTCATGGTATGAGGTTGCCAGCGCTGCGCGGCCTCCTTACTTGCTTCTTGCCACCTCAGTGACCCTTCTTGAAGCAACCCGCGCCCTTCTCGAGCTGGCGCGAACCTTTGGGGCACACACGCGCGCGCTTTGATAGAAGGGCGCCTGGGGCTTGCATCGGCATCCCAAGGACAACGTCAGGAAGACCCCTTGTAACAGCACAGCGACACCCTTTCTTCAAGCAAAAGCATCACAACCCACTTCTCGAAAGGTGCAACCTAATTCCTATTGCGAATGGACAGCATCTACATCGCAACAGCCGGCAGGTGATTTGGCTGTGGGGTAAAAATAGGGTAACCCCAAAGCGGTTTGCCCGGGTAAATGGAACCAAAGACTAAAACCAGCGGTCCGATTCCTGGCTTCATTTTGTCCCACACCCATGTGTCCCAACATTCAAGTGTCGTTTTTTCGCCGGACCAAGGCTACGGGCCCACCACCACGGCGCACGCGGACGCAGTCGGTGCCCTGCCGCGCGGCGGCGCGCGGCTGCTGCTGGGCTTTGAAGCCCGGGAGGGCCGGCGGCTCGCGATTCAGCTGGAGGCGCGGTTCAAGCGATCGCCTGCGCGGACACGGCGCGTGCGTTGGAAGTGGCCATGGGTCACAACATGGGAGGTGTAGCCTACTTTTGTTTCGGAAGGTGTACTTTCTGCTTGTGGTTTAGGTTTATCTTGGCTTAGGAAGCTGCTTTTTGATTGGTCTACCCTGTTGGCTTAGATTGGTCTAATGTTGCCGTCTTCTATTGTTTTAGGAAGGTCTCCCCTTGGCTTAGGGAGGACACTGGCTTTAGTGGTGATTCAGGGAGGTCTATTGTTGGTTTAGGGAGCTCTACGTTTGTTTTAGGGATACAGTTGGTTGAGGGAGATCTACTTTTGCTTTGGGCTCCTAAAAATGGTTGCTTTCCATTTTGTTTGCGTGCAAACCAACCTGAAAAGGGTACCATCAAGAAACACACGCCAATGCGCTCCGGCAAAAGATGGCAGGCACGGGGCAACTTTAGAGTCATGCTTTGATGCCACCCCCAAGAATCAAAGGCTAGGTTGAAAGGGACCTGGAAAGGGGTTTGGTGCTCTTTGAATCGCCCCCTTTAAGAAAAGCCTCCCGCCGCTTGTGTCTGCCAGCTTCCTCTGGGTTTGCCAACCAAAAGGGGTCCCCTGTTTCTGGACACCCTATTGAAGTTTCAAGGGATCAGGATGCCTCTCATTTTTCCTGGTGAGCCGCATAGTTTCAACACCCCGCTTGGAGCAACTCTCAAAAACTCGGTCGAAATATCACGGTCAACTTGGGCTTCGGGACGTTGGGGGGACAATACCTCCCTGCGTGGTGTTTCTTGTTTGGTCGGATGGGGCTTGGCCGCTCTGGGTCCGACGCTTGTAAAAGGGGACTGGGACATTTGCGTGGCAGGAACCTTCAGAAATCGGCTGGATGTGCCATCTTATCCACTTCCATCATACGAACCCCCCCTTTAAGCACACCCAGCACCGTGCGTCTCCGGGCGGCAAACTCTGCGGCCGCGTTTCGGCGAGGAGATCCGTGCAAGTTGGACCATGGGCTCCGGCGGCGTGCAGGAGGCTGATCACTGACTGGGGCTTGGGGGTTTGGGGGGGGGGGGTTGGGGGAAGCGCCAGCAAAATTTGCACCAAGCGTGCGCCTGTTACACGGCTCCTGAAAAGAAATCTCCATTTTGCCACCAACTGAAACATGTTGCTGCTTTTTCAACAGCAACATAAAGGGAAACCAGCCTTTACAAGGCAATGTTCAGGTGTAGAATGTCAGGATCCCTGTGTTGGGGTCACGTTTTGTGGCGCTCCATTCAAGAAAGCTGGCAACAAGAACGGGCGTCCAGGGCAGCTTACCCCTCTTGCAGGGCTCGTTTCCTTTTTCTTCCCCTTCCAGAGGCTGGCTCATTTTGTGAAACGATCGGGGCAAAGCGCAGGTCCGTGTTTCCACTTGGCTGTGGCTCAAAATCAAACAGGAGGGGCAAACCGCGGGTTTTGGTCCATGTTTCCACTTACCAGGGTTCCATTTTGGTACCGGTTTTTTGATCCACAGCCACTTGCGAGGGCGGCCCAGGTTGGAATTTTCCGGTTTTTGGAACCACAGCCATCTGAGGAACCCATCCCATCCATCCACCATCCAGCCCATCCCAAGCTGCGCAGGAGGCGGTGGCCTTTTTCCCTGAGGACTTTGAGCCGATCGCCGACGTAGTGGTGTCGGAGGAGGAGAGGCTGGTGCAAGGCCGGGCAAGGGGGGGGGAAGAGGCGAAACGCCAACGCGACCGCCGAGAGGCTTCTCGCAGGTCGGATGAGACCAAATCCGTTGATAAAATGGAGTTTCCTAAGGGCAGGTCCCAGTTTGGATGTGTCGTGCAGGGAAACCTGATGAAGGCAAACAGTTTGTGGGGCACACCCTCCCAGTCTCAGGTACTTGGCCGGCGAACGTTTAAGCAGTAAATGTTGGCCGCGGCTCATGTGGGTAGGACCACCTGAGACAAATCCAACCCAGGCAGGCGAACCCCTTCAACGGTTGCAGATGCGCGGCCTTTTGATTTTTTTGCTACTGTGGATGGACGAAATCCATTTCGCACCACCTAAGAAACCATGACAAACCATTGTTTGCTGGTATTTACATTGGAATCATCATTCCAGGGTTTCTTAGGTGGTGCATGATTTCGTCCATCCACAGTATGGGCTTTGGGGTAGACCACTCATTGAGAGCCGGGTTTTGATTGTGACTCACCTTTGGCGGTTTGGACTCAGGCACAGAGTTGGCTGCTCCCTTCGTCAACGACTGGGGCCAGCTGGATTCTGGACCTGCCGCTCGGCCGATGCGTGCAGTTTCTCTAGGCCATCTTTGCAAGAGGTTCTACCTGCTTTGAACAAACGGGGGTGTTTTTGTTAACGGTATCCCTTTGCCTTTTTTTTGTGGTTTTACAGGGACACCAAAAGGACTCCCACCATTTTTGGGAGGGTCCCCAACAAAAAAGACACACCCATATTAGTAAGGACAACATAAACCATTGCAACCATCTTAGAACCAAAAGTCACTGGGTTTTGGTCAATCCTTAGTGTCCTCTTTCTGTCATGTCGTTTTCGCTTAGGCTGGCCCTCGTACATAGCTGTACCATCAGCAACAAGAGACAAAGACAAGGGCACTGCTCAAGGACGCCAGGTGGCCTATAGAAACGGCGCTCCGGTCAGACCTCAGACCCTGAGGCCCGAAAAGGCCCGAAACTCTCCAAAGGCTAGACTTCGCATTCTCGAAAGGCCTCTTGCAGTTCGGACTACCCAGTATCAAGAAAGCCAAAAACACAAAAGAGTGCCTTAAAACAGGGGGCAGGAGAGAGACAGAGAGAGGTAGTTCAAAACTCAACTTTGAGGGGCGAACCCTGATTCTCCCTGCCCACGCGAACATCGAATTTTGACCGGGGCTCCTTTAAAGATACAATTGGCAAATTTAACACGCGACTCTGGCCATCAGGCCAAAAATAATCCACACTTTTTGGGCAATTTTCAGGTGAATAGTGGTTGATGGAAATAAACAAAAGTTGGCCCCCTGAACATTCGGGGACAATCGCCAGGCTTAAACAACTGCCCCCTTTTGTTGAAACAGCCACGCCCAAGGGAAACCAAAACAAGGTTGTCCGAGTAATGGTGGCTCAAAAATCACCCCCCCGAACTCCTCCCCCCCACCCCAAAATAGTGGTTTGAACGTGCTGGACTGGCGGCCCAACCCCAAAGAGGGTCGTTCATAGAGACCCAGAGGCGATTTTTCAGTGACCCAACCAAAAGTCCTCCCCCCCCAAAAAAATAATAATAGTGGTTTGGGCCAGCCCCAAAGAAGGTCAGAAATAGAGTGGTTAAAACAGAACAAGGTCGCTGAAGCCCCCAACCAAGAGGTCGGTTTGTCTCAAGGCTCCTAAACAGATACATTGCGCAACCATTGAAACATGTTGCTTTTTCAACACCGAAATAAAGGGACGCCTCTATTTACAAGGCAATGCTCAGGTGTATAATGCAAGGATCCCGGCTGAGGTTCCTTCTGATCGATCTATGGTAAACCAAAGGGAAAGTCAATCTTTGGGGTCCAAATCCCTATGTTGACACATTTTTCGGTTTTCCTTATTTTGGCTGACCTGTGTCTCCCAGGATCCCAACAGCGTGAGCAGCGCCAGCGCGTTGCACGTGCAGAGCGCCGCGGCCTTGCCGCTGCCTAGACCGCCGGGCGCTCTGGCGCTGGCTGCTCTGCGGCTGGCGGGGGCCCAATCACGCAGGTGTCAGTCATGGGCATGGTTCCCTTAGTCGAAACCTTTAACTTACAATTGTTGTCAAAAAATCCCTACTAAACAGCTGAGTCAAAATCAAAACCCGGTATCAAAATGGTTGTAATCCCAGAGCCATGCTTCAAGAATTGAGAAGGCGGAAATTTCCGCAACTATTTATGGCAAGGGGATTGTCCCCTTACCTTCATCTACCCGAATCGGTTTTGATTGTGGCTCACATGGCACATGGCATGGCAATCCGATGAGTTCCCGAATGCTAAGACAAAGCAGAAGGCTTGGGGACTTGCCAGGAGGCTGAATTTTGATGGGACTACCCAGCAAGGATGGGATGGAATGGGGTGTGATGGGATGGGATGGTATGGATGCCAGATTGGTGGGTGGGTGGGTGAGTGGGTAGATAGGTAGAGAGATACATGGCCCAACAGATAGCTACATTGGTAGCTATCTAGAAAGGCTGCGAGATAGATCGACAGATAGTTAGATAGATCGATACATAGATAGATCGATAGATGGAGCAAGTAGATAGGTAGGTAGAGAGAAAGAGAAAGATAACAGGACAGAGAAAGAGAAAAGGCAAGACAGAGAAGAGCAAGAAAGAGAAAGAGGCACACAAAGAAGATAAAGAGACAGAGAAAAAGGACAGAGAAAGACAATCAACCATGAGAAGAAACAGACGGAGACAAATGGAAAGAACAAGAGACATAGAAGAGAAAGGGAGAAACAGAGACAGATAAAGATAGTTTATTGTTCCTTTTTTGATTCGTGAGCCAACCGGCTTTGCTGGCTCTGCAAACCATCTTGGTAGAATTCACCGTCGGGCCTGAGGTCTTCAGGTACGTCATCCCAGGCTGCAGCGCCGGTCGGGAGCACGTGGGCGGCGTGGAGATGTCGGTGGCTCTGCAAAGCCTCCTCTACAACCTCTCCGACTGCCCACAGGCTCTCCAAAAGCATTTTGCTCCTTATCCACTTATCCATTCTTTTTAACCATCGTTCTTTTCAAATACCGAATCCGTTTCCCCCGGGTTTTTTGGAGGGTTCCCTGAAAAGATTCGGATCCCTGGAAAGAATGGAAATGGAAGGTAGCCTTAGAGGTCTGGCAACAAAAAGACCTTAAACTCTTCGTTTCTCCCTGGGCTCTGGGAGCTCAGCATCAAAGAAGCCACAACTCCGACCGCGGAAAGAGGGTCTAGGGTTTAGGGTTTAGGAACTGATAGCTCATCAAATAAGCCTAAGGCAAATGTATAAGAAATTGCCAAAAAATGTATTTGCTAAAGTCAAACGCTTTTTTTCGATGCACGGCGCCGGGCCGAGGTGGGGGACGCGGAGAGCTGCCGCGCCTCGTGCGCCTCGGGCGCGCCTGCAAGCGTGGAGTGCGCGGAGGACTGCCGCCCTTTTTTTCTTCAAATAGGCATATAGGTTTCAAAGGAAAACCGCAAGGACACCCGCCGTTTTGCGGGGGTCCCATTTTTAAAAAAACATGTTTTGTGTGGTTTGTTTGTTTGAAGGGCACCTGTTTTTTTGGAGCTTCAAAGGAAAGCCACAAGGCAAACCCACCGGTTTTGGGGGTCCCCATCAAACACGAAAAACGACACACCGGTTTCCTTTTGCCAGTTGACGCACTTTAGGAAAGACCAATGACTCATCGGCGAGGTTCGTAGGCTCCATCTTCATTTCACCAACCTGAAATCAGGTGGTTGGAGGGATATTCCCCACATGAACCACCATTTGGGGTGAATTCGGTCGTGCGAGGTCGCTATAATTCAACTTCTTCGGGGCCTTGAGCTTTGATTCTCAAAGTGAAAGTCTGTTTGGCCCAAGGGAGTTTGCTGAAATGAAGGTTTTGTTTAATAAAACAATAAAATAATAACAACTCCCAGGCAACTGGAAGGAAGCCAACCGAACCAACCCTGGACTGCTATTGGGTTGCATCTTTAGACTTTAACTTTTTGGGAAGAAAAAAGGCGTTTTCCGTACTAAACCCCCCAAGAAGTGAACAACCTTTCTTGCAGGGTCGGTGCAGCACCCAAGCACCGAACTCCACTCCCCGCGCCGGCCAATGGCCTCGCGCCGGGCCGCGGAGGAGGGCGGCCGCTTCGGCCTCGCCGGGTGCTCCGCGCCCTGCGCGGCGCTGCCGCCGTTCCAGGCGCAGAGTTTTGACGGTGTCGCGGGCGCGGCGGAGGTGAGCTGCGCGCAGGGGCCTTCGGTGGAGCACGGGGAGAGCTGCAGCCCCGTGTGCGAGCAGGAGAGGAACCGGTCGCGGTCGAGTCGACGTCGAAGGATCGAGAGAGTGGGGTAGAGAGAGGACAAATGGAGCTGGGATGCATATATGTATATATGTATATACTAATTATGTGCATATACATATTATTTATATATATATATATGTATTGAGTTACCATGTTGCACGTGTTCTTTTTTTTAAGACTGACCAGTTGCTTGTTAGCGTTGTTAACCCACAAAGCCCACAGGAAGGTCTTGCAGGACCAACGGCCGGGTTTGCGGAAGCCTTGTGCTGATTGTCCAGGGCCAAATATGCTGCAGCGCTGCTGATTTTCTGTATGCTTTGTAAATTTCTGATGATTTTTTGCGCTATAGCGTGAGGACCAAGCCAAAGACGCTTTTGTAAACACCTTAAAATCGCGTGTATAGTGCAGAGCAAGCAACGCAACCAAGCCAAGCAAGCATCGTGCTTAAATGCCTTGCACTTGTATGTTGAATGCTATTGGGTTGGATCTTTCACCTACGTAGAACCTTTTTTTAGGCACGCTATGATTTTCCACTAACCTGCAAAAAAGGTCAGAGCGAATGTGTGGGACTGTGCTCATCAACTCAAAGTGCCTTTGGGTGGATAACATCGAAGTCCATACTTAGTTTCGAGGAGCGTTCCCTATCCGTGTGAGGTCTTTTTCAGAGCTACCCCCCGCGAAAGGTACCGGTTTACGCCACGCGTGCCAACCCAAACGGACAATGGGGTGGCTGAACACGAACATCGCCAGTTGTGTGCATGGTCCCAAAGCCCAGTGACGTTTGGTTTTTGCAAAGATCTAGTCATGAAGCCAGGTGGAGCCTACAGCCAGTAAATAGGCGTTTTGAGTGCTTCTAACATGAGTGTTCGCACAGGACATGATGCCAGACGTGTCGGCCCTACTTTGCAACGACTCGGTCTTCGAGCCTCCGTATTTCACCTGCTATCCCATTTGCACTCCGCCGGACGGAGGTCCATTTGACGCTTTCTTTAACAGGGCTCCTTAAAAGATACATGTTGCCCATTTGAAAACATGGCTTTTTCCACCCAAAAAAGAGGGAAACCACCATTTACAAGGCAATGTTTAGGTGTACAATGTACCGATCCCTGTTTAAGTGGAGGGGGGGTGAGTGGCCAGAAGCTCATCTGGGCTTGTTTTGAGGCTCGGTTCCCGTAGGCTGTTGAAACGGGAACCCCCTATTTTGAACACACACCCATTTCAAACATGCTGGAAGGCGCTCGTTTTTTTTTTTTTTTTTTTTTTTTTTTTTTTTTTTTTTTTTTTTTTTTTTTTTTTTTTTTAAATCCGGGAGCATGGCAATGTGCAAGATGCTGTGATCTAGGGACAGCCACTGGCTAAATTGGTCATCCCCTGTAATTGTCCACAACTCTCAGGAACGGTGTTGCGTATCTTCAGCCTCTCAACTTTCAACCATGGCTTTTCGGCGGTCGTTTGGTCAAACCAAGCCTTTCCAACCGGAAATGCCGTTTTCGGCGGTCGTTTGGTCATTATTATTATTGTTTTTGTTGGGTGCCGTGTTTTTTCCCCCCGTTTTGTTTTCTTGGTGGGTGCCGTTTTCCCTTCTTTTTTTTCCTCTTGGTGGGCGCCTTTTTCTCTTTTTGTTGTGGGTGTGTAGGTGTTTCCCCGGCGGCGTCTTGTTTTGTTTGTGGTGTCTAGGTTTTTGCCCAACCCAGATGCCCCCCGTGCCCAGGCGGCCGCGCTTCCTTGCGCGGAGCTGTCGCAGCAGCCCAGCCTGGGGCAGGGGCCCTGCCACGCGCGCTGCCTGCCAGGCGGACTGAGCAGGGCTCCTGAAAAGAGACATGTCGCAACCGTTTGAAACATGTTGCTTGTTTGCAACCACTTGAAACCATTTCCCAATTTGAAACCATTTGAAACCATCTGAAAAAGATCTACATTTCGCAACCATTTGAAATATGTGGCTTTTTCAACACCAAAATAAAGGGAAACCAGCATTGACAAGGCCATGTTCAGTATTTTTTTTTGTAAGGATCCCTGCTGAGCTTTCTTCTGATCGATCTACCGGCAAACCAAAGGGAAAGTCAATCTTTGGGGTCCAAATCCCCTATGTTGCACACTTTTTTTGGTTTTCGTATTTTTTGTTTACCAGTAGATCGAGAACAAAATCCTTGTTGGGGTCCAAATCCCTATTTTCACACATACCCAGATGAGGTTTGGTGAATCAAATTCCATGAAGAGAAAAAACAATCCGATTTTGGTTTACCTGTAGATTTTCCCATTTTGGTTTGCCTGTAGAATTTGCCCTATTGTTGGTTCACCTGTAGATTTTCCCAATTTTTTGGTTCACCTGTAGATTTTCCCCTATGTTGGTGTACCTGTAGATTTTCCCTATGTTGGTTTACCTGTGAATTTTCCCTATTTTGGTTTAGGTTTACCTGTAGATCCGTAGCCATTTGGGCAAAAGGTATATGACTGGCACTTTTGGCGTTTCAGACCTTGCTGGCCTTGGGCATCAACAACAGCCATATCTCCAAGTTCAGTCTCATCTAGGAGCTCTCTCCAGAAGGAATTTCACACCTCATATAGGCCCTTCAGAATGGGAAAGAAGAACAGTCCTGAGAAAGGGAAGGGAAAGGGCAAGAAGGGTGGAAAGAAGGAGAAAGGGAAGGTTCAGAGAAGTGGGAAAAGAAGGAGAAGGATAGTGAGCATCCCCAATCTGAAGAGGATTATGATGATGAACGGACAGAACGCGACTGGGGGCAAGATGGTCCATGGGAGGAAAGCCAGTGGGACGAGGGGTTGTGGGATAGGCACAGGAGAGTGGATATGATTCTCAATGGGCACCACAGAGCTCTGGATGGGCCAAGGGCAGTCAGGACTGCATGATTGGCCAATGGCTGATTCCTTTGACTATAACTGGTCCAAAGGGGGAAAGGATTTGGGTCAAGGAGAAGGGAAAGATGGGTCAAGCAGCTGCAAAAAGGGCTGCAGGTAGGGTCCAGCATCTCCAAAGATGAAAGGGACTTGTGAGATCTCTAGTGAAGTCTATGACGAACCAAAGTTAGATGGGGATGTTCTCAAGAAGTTGTATGCTCTTGCTGCTGCCACACACCAGGACGCAGAAGCAATAAACGAGAACATGAAGACCACTTCATCCCAATTGTCCAGCACAGAGAACACTCCGCATGCTCAGATCCACACCTGCTGAGCGCCAAAGGCTTCAAAACTACCCCTGGCCCTTGGGGCCGATTTCCCCGGAAAGTTCCTAGCCGAGGCCCTTTTGTTGGCCTAGAACGTCCGGGATGTTGGCGCTGGGATCTTTTGTGCTTCATGAAGCTGAGGGTTTCTTTTGTTCTTCTCAAGGTCGGAAAAAGGCGGCCTGCACCCACCACAAGGCTTACAAGGCTTACAGCCAATGGGGCCTGCTGAAGGGGCATGCTGATGGATAGTTGGCGAGCGATTGCGGGGCAAGCAGTACCAAACGACCACGTGGTTTTGTTGGGGGGGAGAACGTGGAGCACAACCAGTCCGAAATGGCCTTACAATCCGAGTGGTCAAAGCTACAGTCCCCCCAACTAATAATAATACTAACAATAATAAGAATAACAGTAATAATAATACTAAAATTAATGATAATAATAATAACAATAGTAATAGTAATGATAATAATGATAATAATAGCAATATCAATAGCAATAATAATAGTAATAATAATAGTAATAACAATAATAACAATAGTAATATTACTAATGATAATAATGCTACTTATATCAATTATATTAATAATCATATTACTTATCAGGGAAAACAATAAACTAACAATACTAGTCATGATAGCAACAATCAGACGAGAGGCAAGTTGGGCCACCCATTTTCTACCGCTAATCTGGTAGGAGGCTCTACCTGGTTTTTGAGGCGGCCATAGGAAGGGCTCTATTTTCTTCCTTTCTAGCCGTTTTTGGCACCATTTCAGTCAGCGGCTTTGGGGAACGGAGGCTTCCGCCCACGCTGGAGCATCCCCATGGAGGGCCCCGTGCTTCGGCTGCGAGAGATGGATCTGAGCCTCGTTTTGCTTGTTGGTGGGGACCCCTGTTTTCTTGACTGCGATTGGGCAACGGATCTTTGGACATCTCACTTTTTTTTTTCATTTTTTTTTTGTTTAAAGGGGTGTTTTACTGTTTTCCCCTCCACCCCCCAAAAAAAGTATAACAGCTTTTTGGCAGGGGGCTCAGCAGAAAAACAAGACTACCGCTGCAACTTTCTGGAGAATGCCGCGATTTGTTTGATGCGACAAGCGTGCAAGCACTTAGCATGCCAGACTGTGCTTCTCTGCGCGAAAGAACACGGGGGCTGCTAAAAGAAGAACTCCATGAAGCTTCCTTGGAAGACTCCTTTAGCCAACTGCTTTGGCCCGTCAGCCTAGGTATCGCCGCCAGAGCTGGTTCTGAACTGCAGCAACGGGCAGCTGGTGCCGACGGACACCTTCGAGTGCCAGCCCATCTGGCTGCAGATGCTGGAGCTCGCGGCGGAAGCTGCGCACACCTGGAGCTCCTTTGCTTTGGGCGACCAGCAGGTGAGGAAGTCACATGGGACTCCCTGCATTCTTTTAATAGATGCGGCCCAAAAAGGGTGGGCTCCGCTTTTGAGCGGGGTTTTTTCAAGCATATTTCGCTGCTTGGGGGTTCCATGTTGATGAGCAGTGATGGAGTTCCTTGTCTTTTTGACGGGGGGAGGTATGGCGGCACAAATTCCGGGCAGCAAACAATAATTACTTTTCCTCCCACTAACACGCCACCAGACCGGGAATTGGCCCCTACAAGAGGAACATGATCTTCCAGGCACCCTCCCACTGGTGCTATGTTAGTGGAAGCATGCAATGCCCCGTTCTTAAAAAAGAAGAAGAGAAAACTGCCATTTCCACCAGGGTTTTTTGGTGGTTTTCTAGAAAGATCCGGATCTTCGGAAAGAATGGAAATGGAAGGTTCCCCCTAGCAATACCCGCAGTTGTCGAGCAAAATATCCTTGGTGGCTCCCAGCCATCCCCTTAGTGGGGGTTTCAGTTTAATCCACTAAAAGCACTAAAAGTTAAACTTTTAGCAGGGGATCTGAGGGCAGCTCATTCTCCGGGAAGCCCTGCAATACCCGCAGTGTTAACGCAAAAGCAAAAGCCACCGCTGCCAGGTGCTGCTGCGCGCCTTTGCCGACACCGAGTTGCGCCTCACGCGCGGCTGCGAGCTCTTCCTGCTGGAGCCGCCGTCGCCGAGCAACACGTCCCTGCGGCTCCGCAGTCTTGGGCTGCCGTTCCTTGACGGCGATTGAGCAGGGCTCAAGTGGATGCATTGGAAGGATCCCTGATATTCTTTTCATTTTCCAGCAACCAAAGAACTCTCCATCCCAGTGTCAGTTGGTGGTTTCCCTAAACGTATCAACATATTCAGGGCTCCTCAAAAGAAATCTCCGTTTTGCAACCATTTGAAACATGTGGCTTTTTGCAACCAATTGAAACCATTTCCCATTTGAAGCCATTTGAAACCATCTGAAAAAGATCTGCATTTTGCAACCGTTTGAAACATGGCTGGCTTTTTCCACACCGAAATAAAGTTGGAAACCACCATGTACAAGTCGCAATGTTCGGGTGTATAATGTAAGGATCCCTGTACTGCGTTGGATCTTTAGACTTTGACTTGCTGGTTGAAATATTGGGGTGTTTTCCGTACTAAACCCAAAAATAAAAATAAACTTCTTGCAGGGGGGTCGTTGAAGCAACCAAGGTTCGAAGCCATCGATGTGGCGCCGCTGAACGTGGGCGACGCGCTGCTGTTGGTGACCGTCACGTTGCGGGGGGTAGAGGGAGCCTGCGCGCCGGTGCTGCGGGTGGAGGCGGGGAGTAGTGTTTTCGTTGTGCTTAGGGTACTTGTTCGAAAGCGGGGTTCCAGAGAAGCGGTGGAAGGACACGGTTTCCACATTTTTTACTCCTCAGGCTCAGGCACTGGTCAAAGTTGGACGGGTGTTGAGGGCAAGTGGTTTTGGTTTTGCCCAGAAAGGAGGTTGCAAAAGGTTGAGGTTCCAAAAAGGAGGAGGTGTTGGGGGTGCGGTCTTGGTTTTGCCCGCAACAACTTGACTTTGCCGGTCTTGGTTTTGCCCGGCCTTGGTCTTGGCTGCAAAAACAGAAGAAGACGGCAAGTGTCCAAAAAGGAGGTATCCAAAAATAATTGAGGTTCCAAAATAAAATGGAGGTTGCAAAAGGACACCAGGGGTACAGGTGGTTGACCGCCAAATTGACGGCACGTGTCCAAGAGAGGCGGACGGCGGCTTGAGCTTCAGTGCCGCGGGGCAGCTGCCTTTGGCGGAGCTCCCCGGCGCCTGGGCGCGGGAGTTGGCAACTTCGCACAGGTAGGTTTTTTCCATGTCCCAAGAGGAAGACCAAAGACGGTATGGGCCAATTTGTGTTGAAACGCTATTTCGTCTTTTCATGATTTTTCTGTGATTTCTAGTGGGATTGTTTCACATTTGTTCCCATTGGTCGCATTTGCCCACGCCTTCTTCGTCGTTTGCCTCGTTCGCCCCGAGGCCGCGTCAAGGCGCTGACCGTCGACGGCTCCGGTTGGGTCTTCGCCCCCGGCGCAGACGGCCGCGGCGCCGCCGGCGCCGCCTGCGGCAGCGGAGCGGTGGCTCCGGAGCTGCCGGCGGTGTTCGCGTGGAATGGGTCCCACTTTGAGGCGGGGGATCGGAGTGCGCTCCGCGCCCCAAGGCCTTAAGGATGAATGCAAAAAGCGGCAAAGATCTTGGCAAGAAAAAACTGATTTCTGAAAAAGACAAAACAATTTGAACAAGTGCATGTAAACGCGGTACTTAGATGGCTGGGATTGGTTGCCTTGACCCAATAAGGGCCCAAACTGCTCCCAAGTCCGGCGTTTCCGCCGTCTTCAGGAGTTCCAGCGCTTGGGGGCGGGAGCAGTGTCCCTGGAGCCCTTCATCTGGGAGGAGCGCATCATGGTCTTCGCCAGCGCGGGCGGCTCCGGCTGCAGAAGACTTTGGCGCCTGGTCGCGTTGGGGTAGGCCTGGACTCACGAATTGCTCTGCCCCGGGTGGTCCGCCCAGCAATTGGTGCCCTTTTACCCCTTTTTTGGGGGAGGGTTCCCCTACTAAAATAAACTACAGAAAAAAGGGTACCCTTATTCTAACCTCTCTACTGGAGGACGTAGAGTGATATCTGAGGGATGCTGATTCAGCCACGCCTTTTCTACCCTGGCGTCTTCTGTTGGTGTAGGCACGCGACCCTTTTTTTTAACAACCAGGGGAAAGTTTGGCCGTCCGGGGCTGAGGTCAAGAACCTGCTTCTGTCTATTCCAAGGGAGTGGAGAATGATACCTTCGTGGCGCACAACCTGAGCACAGATCTGAGCGGTATCTCAGATGCTGTTTGGCTCGGCTGCGCTCCCGACACCTCAGGCAGCTCGGCCACAAGTTTTTGCCCTCTCTCCTCTCATCTGGCCCCCACCCAGATTTACAGACTAAATGGCAGAAACAGAGCGCAGTCCCCCAAACGATGGCATAACTTCCCTTCTTTTGATTGACATCAGAGCGAAGGTAGATGCCAATTACCTCGATGTGGGTATGTAAAGGGGATCACTTGTTATCAACATTGGGAAATTGTGCCAACTACGGTTACCCCTTTGGGGTTAGTTTAAAAGGAAACCGCAAGGAAACCACCCATTTTGTGGGGGTCCCCGATTTTGTCATATACCCATGACTCTTGCATTCCGCCATAGGACCAGCAACTTTCAGGTAACCACGGAGTTGGTGGTTTGGATGGTGGTTTGGATGTGGCCCCCTGTTTCGTGAGGGCAAATGGGAGACCAACCCAAACCACCAATCCAAACCACCAATCCAAACCACCAATCAGAGGGAAGCTGAGCTTTGATTTCAAAAAAGAAGCAAACACAAACAAAGCAACAAAACAAGCAAAACAAACAAAACAAACAAAACAATCAAAACAAACAAACAACAAAACAAACCAAAACAACAAAACAACAAAACAACAAAACAACACAACAAGCCAAAATCAGAAAACAGAAACTGCAAAAGTAACGTGTACCCCAGCCGCGTGTCGCGTCCGGCTGCGTTTTGTTTCTCGTTTGGCGGTCGGATTTCTCCGTCTCAGGCCCGGGCTGCTTACCGGAGCTCGGGGCGGCCTTCGCGTGGAAGCTGGCGGTGCTGCGGTTGGAGCTGAGGGACGCCTGGTGTGGAGCTGACGCGAGGTGTGCTAGGTCCCCCAGTAGTGCCCTTTTGCCCCTTTTTGGGGGGAGGGTTCCCCTACTCAAGTAGACCACAGAAAGAAAGGGTACCCTTTTTCTATCCTCTGTACTGCAAAGGTACAGGGGCATAGGTGCCCTTTTTGGTTGTTTCGGAGGAACGATGGATGGCGATTCCTGGTTTGATTACCTTTGCGATTTAATCATCTACCAGGGAAATCCATCTATTGCCCCTAAAAGGACACCTATGACGCGAGGTGTGGCTAAGTCAGGAAGCTACAGTTTGGAAGCTACAGTTTGCCAGGGATGGCCCCCAGTCAGATTCTGGTCAGAAATGATTCGAGGCTACAAGGGATGTCAGCACAGCATGGGTTTCCAATGAAATTGGACCGATCCTGGACTTTAAGCACTTCTTCAGTTTGGACCTCTTGCTTGGCTTTTCCAACCTCAACTTCCTATGAAAGGGTCTTTGTCAGGGAACCCGACCAAAGCAGAATCATGCAGCATCCCCTCGCCCGAGATGTGCGCCATCTACGGTACTGCCTGCCAGATGTTTCGATGTGTCAGTAGCATCTCACTCCCGAGAATTTTTGGACTTGAGTCACTTCTGGGGGTTTGGGCCAAATTTTAGTGGCAAAGAAAGAGTTTGGACTTCTTTTCTTGCCAGTCCGCTGATGAAGTGAGCTAAGGGTGAACCACAAATTGGGATGTGTCGAAAATGGGAATGGTGGTTTCCTTGTTTCCTGAAAATTTGAGGGGCACAAAATGGACTGTGGACAAGTAGACTCAGACCCGGTTTGCTGGCTCTTTGTTTTCGAGGGAACCACCCTTTTGGTTGTTTTACTGGAAGCCCAGAGGGAACCGCACAAATCCTGGGCTTCCCGAATGTTGCGAACCTATGTGTGCGTGTTTTGTTGAGCCCTTTAAGGTTAGCTGAAAGCGAACTGAAACGGAAACCCTAAATCGTGTTTGGGGTACCTCGCTCTGCTTTTTATTTATTTTTAAGCACCAAAACAACAGTTTTTGTTTAATCAATTTAACATGGTGGTCCAACGGTTTCCTTTTTGCTTTCACTCAAACACCAACCAATAAGGGGTCACCACTTTGAGAAACTTCCATCAGGGTACTTTGGGCGGTATCCCATTTAAGCCACCAGTACGATAATATTTTTGGAGAAGCGAGTATATGTCAACATGACGGGCCCCGCTTTCCATTTTGTTTTCCCTGTAGAGCAACCTTGAAAAGGGTACCCTAACACAACACGAACCTACATGTGCATGTGAACCACAACGTCACAAAACCGGTAGAATGGCTGTAAAGGCCTGTCATCTCAGCTATGGTGCGGATATCCACCCTTTTCTACCGTGGGAACCAGGAGTGTGTCTCTTTTGGAGGGTCGGAGTCGCAGTTTTAGGTTTCTTTAACGGGAAGTCAAAAGGAACAGCATGGGCGACATGCCAGCTTCTCATGACGCTGCAAGATGCTTGACTGGGTTTCGCCTTGTTTTCCCTCCGCAATTTTGAGTTTTCAGCAAACAGTTGTCAGCTTTTGGGGGGTCTAAGGCTGTCCCTCTAGGGGTCTTTTCAACCTTCGTTCTTTTCAAACACCGATTGCTGTTTCCCCTGGGGTGCTGATGGTTTTCTGAAAAGATTCGGATCCCTGGAAAGAATGGAAATGGACGTGTCCCCTAGAATATTGACCTTTTGTGGCTTTAGTGGAAAACACATGATTTCCACAAAAAGTTAAAGTCTAAAGATCCAACTTTTGGCGTTTCCTAGAGCTAGATTCTTGCTGGGGGGGGGGGGGTTCTTCTAGAACAAACTACCAGAAACAGGGTGCCCTTTTTTGCCATGGAGGCCTGTTGTGTCCCTCAGAGGCCCAGTTTTAGTTTTTTTCTCGGCCGCACGAGGATGGCGGCACGATGGGTGTGGAGGAGCTGGCGTGGGCGCAGCTGGACGCAGCGGTGCGGGAAGTGTCCGTGAGCCGGGCGGCCGCGCTGGAGGAGTCAGAACTTGTTTGAATCATTACCCTCCCACCAGCTAACATGGAAGTGCACAGACCCTTGTAGAAAGACTACTTTCCTCTTGGAAAGGGCCTTTTTGTACTTCCATGTTAGTTGATGGGAGGGCAGAGGCTCTTGGGTTTCTGGGGTTGCAGCTGTCCCCCATTGAGTGGTTTTAAACGTCACCTGTTTGGTCAGTTTAAAGTGAGTTTCCTTTGGTTGTGGTGAATCTTTTAGTGGAAATCTAGGGAACTGTTGGGATTTCTTGGGGTTTGCTCACCAACCAGCTGGCTTGAAACAACCAAACATACGGGTTGATTTCTGCGTGAACCTCCCGCATTTGCCTTCACTGTAGCTCGGCTGCCCCGGTCCGGATGGTAAAGACAAGGCCAAAGTGGAGCCGCGTTCAGCATTTTGCTTGAAACAACTCCGCGGGTCAGAGCCTCTAGGGCCCCGAGGCACTGTTTGCACCATGGTTTGAGAACCCCGAAACTGGGCAGTCTTTGATTTTCCTTTCGCCGCCACATTTTGATTGCCAGCCCAGAAAAATCGTTGCGGGCGTCAACATCGAGAGATTCGGGCGTTGCGGGCGGCTTCCTTTGGAGATCCTTTCAAACCGACCCAAGGGCTCGAAAATCGCCGCCTCCCCCCCACCCCCCAACCCCCTCAGCCACCTCAGCCACCCCCCCCTCACCCCCCCCCCCCTCACCCCCTTCCCCCCACTGGGGGCCCCCACGTTTTGAGGAGGTCTTTCTAGTGACCTCCACGGCCTCCGGAAGCAGCGCCTCCGTCTTCGTGTGGCGCACGGAGCTGCGGCTGGTGCAGGACGGCCGCGGAAACGCGGAAGCGCGGCAGCCGCGGCGGCCGCGGGAAGCGCGTCCAACGGCGTTTCCGTTTGGGGCCTTGCAACCTTTGGTGGCACCGAACGAACCAACGCATCCGGGTCTCTGTGCACTGAGTGCGCGAAGTTTTAGGGAGTTTCTGACACCCGAAAATGGGGGGGGGGGGGGGGGTCCAAGTCATTTTTGCTCTTGGACACATGCCAAATACACATTTTCTCAGTCCACAATTTTCTCAGTCCACGTGGCCCTCAGGAGTTGCCGCGTGCGGACTCGAGCCTTCCGCTGAGCGTGGGCGACAGCCTCAGCCTGCTGGTGACCAGCGGGGCCGACGAGTCAGGCGCGGTTCGGAAGGATGCAGCTTGCTCTGAGAGTCACCTCATAGGCGCCCACTCATACTGTGGATGGTTGCGGAATCCGCTTCTCGCACCACCTAAGAAACCATGGGGAAACCACTGTTTGTTGGTATTTGCAAGGGAAGCATCATTTCAGGGTGTCTTAGGTGGTGCAGGATTTCGTCCATCCACAGTGGGCTTTCCGGAGGTTTTCTAGAAAGAATGATCCCTGGAATGGAAATGAAAGGTACCCCTATGAACAAATCTGGGGGAATTATAACGACCTCACACGACCGAATTCACCCCAAATGGTGGTTTATTTAGCCCCCGTTTTCACCGTAAGTTTCAGGTTGGTGAAAGTCCTTTTTAGGTTACTTTGGTTAAAAATAGATGGGTTCCACCGGTTTAGATGGGTTTTGTTCCATTTACCCGGGCCATCTATTTTTCCAAAAGGCCACCTATGGTCCCACGTGCACTCTGAGAGTCCCACATGTGGCTGTGGGTGAAAAATAGGATTCAAAATGGCTTGCTCTGGTAAATGGAAAGGACTACAACCTGCAGTCCATATCCTGGTGGCTATGTTTTTTTTTTGACAAGGGACCCGAAATGGTGGACATCATTTGGGCGGGGGTTCATGTCCACCAATCACCGTTGAGGTGGTTCCCTATTGAAATTCATGGCCATGTGGGTATGAGTTTAAATTGGAAACCCTAAGCTCAGAAATGCATGGTTGGAGGTGTGTCCTTTCCCAACCTTTTTTTGGAGAAGGTTCCGACCATATGTTCCAAAGCTGGTGGTCTTGGGTGTCACGGGATTACCCCCGCAAAGACCTTTTGGACACAGATGCTTCTTCCCGTTGAGCCCGCGAGAGGTGATCCAGCTTTGGGGGAGGCCTGGAGACCCCGGTTCCAGTACGCACATGGGTGCACGTTGGTTTTTTTGATGCTTTGAAAGGGACCAAACAGGTCGCCAGCCAGCTTGGGGAACCCCCTCGATTGAGATCTCCCCCCCCGTTTGAGGGTGCCTTGTATGTTCAGCACCCAAAAGGAGACATATACCATTTGCGGCTCTCTCTATTTTGAGGCCCCATATGGCCATGGGTCAAAACCCAAATCGCACCCCCGGTGAACATCCCAATCCCCGCTAAAATAGGTTCTAAAATGGGAGAATTCACCTACCCCAACATGGGATCCCATTGGTTTTGACAACCACAGCCATATTAGCTTCCACGAATAGTTTTTCTTTTCCCCTGTTGTTTTTAAAGGGAATCTATCACTACTGGACATTTTTATTTTTTCCAGGGGACTTAAGCAAATGGAAGTATGTTGCCAGGCCACCACGTCTCCCGCATCTTCGCCGTCGACGCCGACTTCGCCTGGTTTTCCGGCGAGTGGACGGAGTGCAACGGGACCTGCCGCGGGAAGGATCCCGTCTTTCGGCATCGCGAGGCCGGGGAGTTGCGGCGGAGAGAAAAAACGCATTTGGCCGTGGCTGTCAAAACCGTTTTGGGATCCCATGTTTGTTGGTAGGTGAATTCACCCATTTTAGGCTTTATTTGAGTGGGGATTGGGATGTCTATTTTATTGGGGATTGGGATGTTCACTGGGGGGGAGGGGTTTTGACCCATGGCCATTTTATCTTGGACAATGGTTTGAAAGCTACAGTTGCAACATCCTTGGCCCTTCAGATTCTGGTTGGTCAATCATTCAAGGCTACCCGGGATGCATTGGTTTTTCAATGAAACTGGGAGCCTTTCAGAGTTCCATGGGTCTGTGCTAGTGAGGCTACTTTTCAGATTGGTTTCAATGGAAACCAGAGGGAAGTTCGAGTGAGTCTCCTGTCGGGACGTGCATAGCTCAATCGAACACACCCTGAAAGGCGCCCGGTTGAACTCAATCGGGCAACGCGAAGCTCAAAGCGAACATGCAGTCGCTAGGTCCCCCAGCAATTGGCGCCCGGTTGAACCGTTTCCTTTTTTTGGGGAGGGTTCCCTTACGAAAATAGACAAAAAGGAAAAAAGGGTACCAACTTATTCTAAGCTCTCTACTGGGGGACCCAGAAACTTGTACTGTCTCCTCTTGCTTTCCTTTTCCCACCTCACTCAGGGAACCAGACCAAAGGATGATCATGTAGCATCCCAGGGCAACCCGTATCAATACAGCCCTGGTCGATGAAGGCGCAACCCATTTTACTTGGGCGAACGCCCTCCGGGAGATGTATTGATCCGGGGTCATGAATCATGGCCGGTGTGATCAATCTGTTTTGCTCAGGGAGGCCAGGAGCAACCTTGTAGTATATAAAGTACCCTTCTTGGATAGGTTCAAAGAGACACACCAGGAATTTCATCAGCTTAGGGAACCCCTGTTTCGAGAACGGCTACGTTTTTGGGGCCACCACCCAGCTGGAAGCTAAGCGGCCCGTCCAGGTGGCCTGCCGCGGCCTGCCCAGCGGTCTCCGGCCGCTCCCTCAGACATCGAATTCGTCGCCGAGGGAGTTTCGGCCAGCTTGGCGTGCCGCGTTTCGGCCAAAATGGCGGATCTCCCTTTTGGTTGGTATTGAAGGGACACCGAAACGAAGCCATGGCCAAGTTGTGAGGACCACGATGGTCCCAGGACAATTATGTTCATCTATCCTTGTTGGGGCCATTTTCTGACAAGAAGGATTCTTGGAGCAACAGGGGAAGTACCACGGCGTCGTTTGTGCAGTTGCTTCAAGTCATTCTGAGCGTTTTACTTTGAAAACTAACTTCTCCACAGAACAGCTTTACACTGGGTAATTAGGGCGCATATACTGAGCAGAAACTGGGGGGGGCATTGGTATGGCCCAGAATGGTTAGCATACCCTCCCATGTTCGAAATGTCCACACAATCCAGGTCCAATTTAGCATCATTCCCCTTTCGCCCTTGCAAGCATCTTGGATTCGGAAGTAAAAGTCACTGGGTTTTGGGCGTTCACGTGTCAGTGGATTCCAGAAATATTGCAAGTGAACCAGCCGCATTCAACCACAATCAACCACACATTTGTATTATTATTTTTTTGCGATAAATCGTTTTGGGCGTTCACGTGTCAGTGGATTCCAGAAATATTGCAAGTGAACCAGCCGCATTCAACCACAATCAACCACACATTTGTATTATTATTTTTTTGCGATAAATCGGTTCACCTTGTTTTCAGAGCAGGTTGCCAGGAGAAGCAGGTTCCTAGGTTGATTGTGGTTGGTAAAACGCGATCAGGCTACGATCCGACTGCCATCCTGCCTAGAAGCCATAATCTATCTGTATTCTGGAGCGATCCGGGCGCGATCCAGGTCGATTTTGCGAAAACAGAGAGTGCTGCAAGAATGCCCGAGTGGACGGATGCACTACCCTGTCGTGTCGCAATCCGAGCGCTTTTTAAGCACATGATCGACCGCCACCCCATGCAAGTGTCTGGGCGGGGCGCGCGAAAGAAGACAACCCCGGAACCGGCTTCCATTCACCACCCTTTTGTTGCATATTTTCGCTGCGTCATTTTTCGCTTCCTTTTTCGCGCAATCTTTAGCCGCAGGACCCGGTTGACACATACCCACACCCCGTTTTGACGTAGAGTTTCTGACGACCTTTCTGTACCCCGCTTCAAGGCTAAGTGTGCGGAAGATTGGGTGGCATGTGCCCCAGTGCCCACTTAGCCATACTGTGGATGGACGAAACCCTGCACCACTTTGAAACCATACGAAGCCATTTGTTTCTTGGTATTTACAGTGGAATCATTTCAGCTCTTAAGAAGTTCCTCCCTGTAACCTGCTTCCGCGTGCTTTTGCTCTGGGCTGAACAGCCACAATGGGCGAGAGTAATTAACTTCCCGGCAGGCCACACAATTCTTGAGCAGGTTCCGGGGACATGCCACTCAGTCTTCCGCACGCCCAGCCTTGAAGCGGGGTACAGGGGCTCTAAATACCGGGCTCTGCGGGTTCTGCGGCAGGGGAGTAGGAAACCATGAGATGCGGCAGAATGAAGCCCAGTCCAACTCCCAATACGTTGCAGCGTGCCACATTGCCCAAGGCTTGGCTGAAACAAAGCTGTCACATGCCAAACATTAGCATTCTGTTCATTCCCGCCGCCAACAAATATATGTGAATGTGGGAAGCGACTGGAAACTAGCTGTAGCCCAGCAACTGGCGTCTACTGATAAGATTCCACCACTCGACCCTTTTCCTCGCAACCAGCTGATTTGGTTGCCAGCAGAAAGGGGACCTCCAAACGGGTGGTTTCCTTGTGGCTTCCCTTACTCACCGGCCAAAAGGGTGTTTGTTGCGCGTGGGCCGTGCGGGTGTGTCAGTTGGGTACCATGTTGGGGGTTCAAAGAGAAACCAACGTTTTGAGGGTGAACTACTTTCAATACCCCTCCATAGAAAGTAGTTGACCAAAGCAGAGGACCCTTTCAGCTTTGTCCTTGATTTGGGCATCCACCATGCCATGGTCAAAGCACCTGGTCACCCGGCCTTGGGGGCTGGTCATGCATCCCTTAATTAAAAATGGGACCAACCTTTTTTTGCCAACTGTTTCGGTGCATCCAAAAAGTGAGAAAAATGGGACCCACAGTTTCGCCACCGGTTTGAGGCATCCAAAAAGTAACAACCGATTTCGCCAACGGTTTCGGTGCATCCAAAACGAATATCAAACTTGGGACCAACCGTTTTTTTTTTCCTCTTCCGCCAACGGTTTGGGCCCCAACCCCGCGGGGCGTTTCGTTTCGTTGGGCGTTTCGTTTCGTTGCGGCGCGTGCCAGGCACGAGGGCCTTTGCCCGGGCGACGCCCCGCTGGCGGCGGAAAGGTGCAGCGTGGAGCCCTGCCTCGAGGAGCGGGTGGCTGGGTACCCGGGTACCCCCTGGACGAGGCTTGAGGCTAGAGGGGGGGGGATCCTTTTGGTGAGGTTCAAAGGGGATATCATATGATATGTCGGGAAACTTCGACTCTTTCTGGCTGGGGGAAGCTTTGGGGGGGATCCTTTGAAAGGGGGTCGATGGTGACCCCACCCTGTGCTTCCCCTTGGATTTTTTTGAAGCATCACTCCTTTAAAGGGGCCAGATGAAAGGGGATCCTTGTTTGGGTGACGTGAAAAAAGGGGACATCACACTTTTCGATTTTTTGGGCTGGTTTTTCCCATAAGGAATGAGCGGGGCACCCGAACTGAACCTAGAGACTCAAAACTGGGGGACTGGAGGACACAGTCCCAACCAGTGGCTCAAGCGTGAGCTTGCATTTGCTTCTCGGGCATTGGCTTCAGTGTCAGTTTCAAGACGGGCTACGGGACACGGCACTCACGTGCTGCAGCCAAGACTGTATGTGGCCACCCCTAGACGTGTCAAGCAGACATTTGTGTGAGGCCTCATATGCGGTATATGGTTCCAAACAAAACACCGCGTAAAAAGACGCAAAGACAAAGAAGTCATCAAAGGTGTCACAATGTATCACATAAAGTTTTATGTCACTACATAGCATAAAGGTTACATACCCATCATGGGAAGTGGAAACTATCTCAGAGCTGGGTGCTGGAGCTGAGATGAAGCTGAAAGACTCTTCAATGCTATTCCTGCAACAAATGAAACATAGTCGGATGGTTTCCACGTGTCAGCTCAACCATGCGCATTTGAGCGTATACCTGAATGCTATCCATGCGTCATCTGAAATCAATGCAATCCTTCCTACAGGTGGTCAATAATCCCTAAATGGGTACCAACAAACCATGACCTGATTGAGCTGTTGCCTTTGTGGAGTTTTTCCATTCACGCGTCTCGCCGACAGAATGCTGGGCTATACCCAGGGAACAAGGAGTAAATTAAGAAACATGAGGTGCAAGCAAGCTCAAAATGAGGCGTGCTTGTCGGGCTTGTCTCAGGGCAGAACCCAAATGGTTGGCTGGTTGAAGCTTTTTTCCCTGCCCCTTTGGGTGTTTTGGTGTTCTAGGTGTCCCTTCATTCTCTCCGCAACTCAACCCCTTTCAACCTTGTCTTTCCTCTCACTCAAGCATTGAGCAACATCTTTTTCCTCCACTCAAGCATTGAGCAACATCTTTTCCTCCACTCTTGTTTGAGCAACATCTTGGTGGGTGAAACCTCCGTTTTGGGTCCTGTCGCAGTTCCAAACTTCGCCGCGGGGCAGGACTCTTACCGCTGGTCCGTGGGTGCCTGGAGCGGCTGCCAGGGCCTCTGCGGCCGCGGCCTGCGCTGGCGCAACGTGAGCTGCTGGAAGCAGCCGCTGGACGGGGCAGGCGCTCGGCTCGGCTCGGCTCGGCTCGGCTCGGCTCGCTGCGCGGGTCCCGCCTTTGGCGCGCGTAGAGAAAACCAACGTGTAGAGAAAGTCAGGGGCGGAGCTGAGCTGAATCGATGTTTTGTTTTTTTTGCTTGGTTTTTTTTTCTCCATGGGGTCTGTGGGGCAGTATTCTAGGGGTACCTTCCATTTCCATTCTTCGTACCTTCCATTTCCATTCTTCTTTCTAAAAAGCCACCCAACAACCTGGGGAAACAGCGATCGGTTCTTGAAAAGAAGGATGGCTGAAAAGAATGGGGAATCAACCCCTAGGAACACGGAGTGGGATGAAGATGAATAGGGGAATCTCATGGTCATCTCCAAGATGTTCACCAAAAGTTCCACAAGGTAGAGTAAGAATCAAAAGCCTTACCATCTAGTGACCATTCTCATGGGAGTTCTGACCATAGATCTAACTGATGGAGCTTTAGAGGGTTCAAGCCTCTCAAACCTGTAGCCCACATCGAGTTTCGACCATGGCACAACCGTGTCCCTGGTCAAAACCGTAGCTACAAGTCAACCAATTTCTGTTACCCAGTTTATGCTCACGATTGTTGCAGCGTTGGTGACCCATGCTTAAACAGACTAAACAGTTTATGGATTGTGAGATCATACAGTTGAACATGGCGCTTTCAGTTGGATTCACATCCAGTCCTCCAGGTGAACCTAGCGCCACCCCCTCCCAAGTAAACAAATGATCACGGCTGAATCAAGCCAAAACCGCCGCCAAAAAAATCGCCATGTCGTGGGGGGTTGCCCCGCAGTTCGTGAGGTTGACCCCTTCGAAAGCTTTGGACCTTTTGGATTCCAGCAGGAATTCCCCAGTCCTTGTTCGGTTGGGTCTAAAAACATCACCTGTTTGATATGTCCTTTGATCTTTCTTCATTTTTCGGTGGGTTTAAATCATCACCCTTTTTGATACGTGTCTCAGCCCAAAGAACAAAAAGCCGGGAGCCCCCCCACAAGGGGATTTCCCCCGTGGCCCACTTTGGGCGTCCAGGCGGCCCGGAGCTCGCGCCGGACGCGGCCTGCACCGCCCGCCCCATCTCCGAGACGGGCTGTGCCCTGAAGGCGCCTTGTCGTCGACGGGATTCGACGGGGCGCGGCGCGCGACCCGCGGGCACCGCCTTCGACCACCACCCCGAGTTTTCGTTTTTATATATATATATATATTCTTCTTTTTTTTCTTTTATCGTTTCACAACTTGACGGCATCTGTGGCCCCCAAGTGTTATTTGATGACGACCCCCCCCCGCCCAAAAAAAGAAAACAACTCCACGGCATCCGTGGCCCCAACTGCCATTTGATGACGCACACCACTTGTTTTGTTGCGTTTCATCAGTTATGCGGATCTGTCATGGGTGTGTTTGTCTTGATGGTAGCCTGTTTCTCTTGCAGCGGGGCTGGGTTTGTCTGAGCCAAAAGCTGGGGGTGTGATCCAACTAAACCTCTTGTCAAGTCCTGTTCAAGTGCTCCAACTGTCCGTTTTTTGGGGACACGCAATCAAAAAGTGCTGCTGCAACCTGCCTGAGAAATGCCGGTTCCTAGGGTTGAATCAACAGGAGACAGGCCCAGTTGATGGCTTCATGCTGCAGGTTTTCGGGGTGTGCTGGAATTCAAAGGGAATCTATCACTAGTGGATTATTATTATTATTATTATTTTGCGAGGGGACTTAAGCAAATGGAAGTTGCGCCACCTTTTCACAGGGTTGGGAAGACCAAACAAGCTCTAATTTTGGGAATGACGCGCATGATTTGTTGCAACAAGTTCGGTGTGCTCTAGTTGGGCAAAATCGGACTGTTAACAGGGCTAAATGAACGCCGAGCCCCATTTAGGAGGTTCCATACCTCATTTGGAGGCATACCTAAAGGTGCCTGGGCCTTCTATAGGGACTTTACACCCCATTAGGGTTCCTTGTCTTGAAGACACATCTGGGTGTTGGGGAGCAAGAAAACAAAAACAACATGGCCACCGTGTTTTTGTTGGTTTTCCCCCAGAAACAAATCTTCGGTTTTGGGTTTTGGGGAGCCCCCGAAGTGGCTACCGTGTCCACAGGCAAAGAGGAACACCTTTCGCCGGCCGGCGAACCTCGCTACACGCCGCGTGAGGCCTGCGGCAGCTTCCGGCTCCGCAACAAGGTGCCGCTGGCCAAGGCCTGGCACGCCGCTTGGCAAACCGCGCCGAGGCGCCGGATTCTTCGGGGGAAGTTTCCCCCGACCCTCCTTTTTTGTTTTTTCGGGTTTAGGGTTTAGGGTTTAGGTTCCCCCCCGACTTGTTGGTTTTGGGCGTTTTAAATAAATATATATATATATACATATTATTTTTTTTTGTGTGTGTGTGTGTGTTTTTTTGGGGGGCCCAGAATGCCTGGCTTCCTTTTCGGTTTCCGAAAAGCCAGGCAAAAGAACACCCCGTAAAAAGACACTCATTTGTGCAAACCGGTTTTGCCAGGCCTGGTCTATACGTGGCTGCTGTTTGGCAAGAATCCGCAGAGCCCTCCGCACTGGGCTGAGGAACTCTAAGGATTTAAAGTAATTAATCTAACTGGGGGAAAAGTCTGACCAAGGCGTCCGCTTCCCTCAGAACGACTGGGTCTTTCTTTCTTGTTTCAAAGCATAAAAACCCGAGGATACCCTCAAACACCGCTGGTTCCCTATCGTACGAGCCAAGCAAACACCCCTTGCGGTGTTTTTGTTTTTGCCTTGCAGGACCGTCTCAGATTCGGATTCACCAGATGAGGGTTTCGTCGAAATTTTCAGATTTGGACTACTATGAGTACTCTGTAATGCAGACCCCGGATTAATAAACCCCCCCCCCCCCCCCCCCCCCCCAAGGTCACAAGGTCAGGTCTGTCATTTTTTTGAGGGCCCCCCCCCAATAGTGGGAAGGGGAACCTTGTGGGAAGGTCAGGTCAGGGAACCCTGTGGGAAGGTCAGGTGAGGGAACCTTGTGGGAAGGTCAGGACCTTGTGGGAAGGTCAGGTGAGGGAACCTTGTGGGAAGATCAGGACCTTGTAAGAAGGTCAGGTAGGTGGGGGAACCTTGTGGGAAGGTCAGGACCTTGTGGGAAGGTCAGGTGGGGGAACCTTGGAAGGTCAGGTGAGGGAACCTTGTGGGAAGGTCAGGTGAGGGAACCTTGTGGGAAGGTCAGGACCTTGTGGGAAGGTAGGTGGGGGAACCTTGTGGGAAGGTCAGGACCTTGTGGGAAGGTCAGGTGGGGGAAAATTGTGGGAAGGTCAGGTCAGGGAACCTTGTGGGAAGGTCAGGCGAGGGAACCTTGTGGGAAGGTGAGGACCTTGTGGGCAGGTCAGGTGAGGGAACCTTGTGGGAAGGTCAGGACCTTGTGGGAAGGTCAGGTGGGGGAAGCTTGTGGGAAGGTCAGGACCTTGTGGGAAGGTCAGGTGAGGGAACCTTGTGGGAAGGTCAGGTGAGGAAACCTTGTGGGAAGGTCATGACTTGTGAGGCCAGGGAACCTATTGAATGGATTTAAAGCAATCAGAGGGGTCTTTTGAAGGCTTTTGGAGAACATGGTTGATTAATAGGGGGTGCCAAATCTATAAGAATTTTGATGAGTGAAGGTAGCTTGTGAAAAAGTCAGGTCAGGGAACCTTGTAGGCAGACCAGGGAACCTTGTGGGAACCTTGTGGGAAGGTCAGGTGAGGGAAACTTGTGGGAAGGTCAGCATGTAAAGCATACGGGGTGTTAGAAGAATTTGGGGGGCTTGAAGGTCAGGTGAGTGGGAAGGTCATGACTTGTGAGGCCAGAGGGGTTTTGGAGGCTGTTGGAGAACATGGTTGATTAACAGGGGGTGCCAAATCTAAGAATTGTTGATGAATAAGTAGGGAGCTTGAAGGTAGCTTGTGAAAAAGTCAGGTCAGGGAACCTTGTAGGAAGGTCAGACCAGGGAACCTTGTGGGAACCTTGTGGGAAGTTCAGGTAAGAGAACCTTGTGGGAAGGTCAGCATTTAAAGCTTTGGGGTGCCAAATCGAAAGAATTTGGTGGTCTTGAAGGTAGCTTGTGAAAAAGTCAGGTCAGGGAACCTTGTGGGAAGGTCAGGTCAGGGATCCTTGTGGCTTGTAAGAAGGTCAGGTGAGGGAACCTTGTGGGAAGGTCAGGATTTAAAGCAATCAGAGGATTTGATTAATAAGGGGGTGCCAAATCTAAGAATTTAATTCGGGGGCTTGAAGGCAGCTTGTGAAAAAGTCAACAACAACAGCTTGGGAGCCACAAGCTTTCAACATCCAACCCAAGGCAGCCAACAGTGGTTCAAACTAGCCCAGACACACCAGCAGAGACATTGGACATTGTGACGCCAAAACCAGGCCAACAACAGCTTGGGAGCCACATCTGGTGAAAAGAAGGAGGATTATTATTATGAGGGTGCCCACAACTTTTGTGCAAAACCATAACTGTGCTCAACTTCCTGCTTGTGTTCTTGCCAAAAGTGGTGAGCAGCCTAATAATAATCCAACTTCTTTGCACTACATAAGCTTGTAGAAAGCTGCACCTTTTTGAATTCAAGTCTCCACTCCAAAAGTTCTTGCAAAATGCCATGCCGGCCAAACTTGCTTTCCTTTGATGAAAAGAAGGCACGACCGGGAATCGAATCTGTAACCTTTCTGTTGTGAAGAGAATGTTTCTGCCAACTAGACTAAGCAGTCTTGACCACAGGGCGAGAAATAAGGTTACCTGTCCTTGCCCAGGACCATTTTGCACTTAGCAGTTTATTATTATGGGGGTGCGCACCTTTTAGGTGGAGCCTTGAACCTGGGGAGCTGCGTCCAGGGTGCACCTTGGTGGAACAGCTTGAAAGCCACAAGCTTTCAACATCAAACCCAACACAGCCAACAGTGGCCAAAACCAGCCCAGTGACACAAAAACAAGGCCAACAACAGCTTGGGAGCCACAAGATTTCAACATCCAACCCAAGGCAGCCAACAGTGGTTCAAACCAGCCCAGCAACACCAGCAGAGATAGTGTGACACCAAACAAAGCCAACAACAGCTTGGGAGCCACATATGGTGAAAAGAAGTTGGATTATTATTAGGGGGGTGCTCACCAATTTTGGCAAGAACATAACCTTTGCTGGATAATGTTGGTCTTGCCAAACAGGAAGTTGAGCACAGTTATGGTTTTGCACAAAAGTGGTGAGCACCCCCCTAATAATAATCCTCCTTTCACCATATGTGGCTCCCAAGCTGTTGTTGGCCTTGTTTTGGTGCCACACTATCTCTGCTGCTGTTGCTGGGCTGGTTTGAACCATTGTTGGCTGCTTGGGTTGGATGTTGAAAGCTTGTGGCTCCCAAGCTGTTGTTGGCCTTGTTTTGGAGTCACACTGCTGGTGTTGAGCTGTTGTTGGCCTTGTTTGTGTGTCACACTATCTCTGCTAGTGTTGCTGGGCTGGTTTTGGCCACTGTTGGCTGCCTTGGGTTTGATGTTGAAAGCTTGTGGCTTTCAAGCCTTGTTACAATGTCTTCTGGTATTGCTTGGGCTGTTCCACCAAGGTGCACCCTGGACCCAGCTCCCAAGGTTCCAGGCTCCACCCCAAAAGGTGCGCACCCCCATAATAACAAAAGTGCAAAATGGTCCTGGGCAAGGACATGTAACCTTATTTCTCGCCCTGTGGTCAAGACTGCTTAGTCTAGTTGGCAGACACATTCTCTTCACAACGGGAAGGTTACTCGATTCCCGGTCGCGCCTTCTTTTCATCAAAAGAAAGCAAGTTTGGCCGGCGTGGCATTTTGCAAGAACTTTTGGAGTGGAGACTTGATGTGCGGAAGGAAAGCAGCAAAAACAAGGAAAGAAAGCACCAGATGTGCTGAAGGGTGAGGATGCCCAGCAGGCACACCAGGTGCAAAAGGAAAAGCAGGAGCAGGAAGAACAAGGAAAGGAAGCACCAGATGTGCTGAAGGAGGGTGCACCAGGTGCACCACCAGGGGAAACGCAGGCTGGTGTGCAAAAGCAGGGCATCAAACATGGTTGGTAGATTAATATGGGGGTGCTGGCTTTACTAATGGGGGGGGTGCAAAAGCAGGGCATCAACCATGGTAGATTAATAGGGGGGGTGCTAGCTTTACTAATGGGGGGGGTGCAAAAGCAGGGCATCAACCATGGTAGATTAGTAGGGGGGTGCTGGCTTTACTTAAGGGGGGCTGCTGCTGTTGCAAGTACAAAAGGAGCTGGTGTGCAAAAGCAGGGCATCAACCATGGTGGATTAATAGGGGGGCGCTGGCTTTACTAATGGGGGGGTGCAAAAGCAGGGCATCGACCATGGTAGATTAATAGGGGGGTGCTGGCTTTACTAATGGGGGGATGCAAGTACAAAAGGAGCTGGTGTGCAAAAACAGGGCATCAACCATGGTAGATTAGTAGGGGGGTGTAATGGGGGGTGCAAAAGCAGGGCATCAACCATGGTAGATTAATAGGGGGGTGCTGGCTTTACTAATGGGGGGGTGCTGCTGTTGCAAGTAAAAAAAGGAGCTGGTGTGCAAAAGCAGGGCATCGAACATGGTAGATTAATAGGGGGGTGCTGGCTTTACTAATGGGGAGGTGCAAAAGCAGGGCATCGACCATGGTAGATTAATAGGGGGGTGCTGGCTTTACTAATGGGGGGTGCTGCTGTTGCAAGTAAAAAAGGAGCTGGTGTGCAAAAGCAGGGCATCAAACATGGTAGATTAATAGGGGGGTGCTGGCTTTACTAATGCGGGGGTGCAAAAGCAGGGCATCGACCATGGTAGATTAATAGGGGGGTGCTGGCTTGACTAATGGGGGGGTGCTGCTGTTGCAAGTAAAAAAAAGGAGCTGGTGTGCAAAAGCAGGGCATCAAATATGGTAGATTAATAGGGGGGGGCTGGCTTTACTAATGGGGGGGTGCAAAAGCATGGAGCTGGTGTGCAAAAGCAGCAGGGCATCAAACATGGTAGATTAATAGGGGGGTGCTGGCTTTACTAATAGGGGGGGTGCAAAAGCATAGCATCGACCATGGTAGATTAATAGGGGGGTGCTGGCTTTACTAATGGGGGGGTGCTGCTGTTGCAAGTAGAAATGGAGCTGGTGTGCAAAAGCAGGGCATTAAACATGGTAGATTAATAGGGGGGTGCTGGCTTTACTAATGGGGGGGTGCAAAAGCAGGGCATCAAACATGGTAGATTAATGGGGGGGTGCTGGCTTTACCAATGGGGGGGGTGCTGCTGTTGCAAGTAAAAATGGAGCTGGTGTGCAAAAGCAGGGCATCAAATATGGTAGATTAATAGGGGGGTGCTGGCTTTACTAATGGGGGGGTGCTGCTGTTGCATGTGCCAAAGTTTGGCAAGTTAAAATTAGATCAAAAACGCTTGATGTAGCGGGGGGTTTGGGGGAGGGGAGCTTTAATAGGGGGGGGTTTCGGGGGAAATTTTTTGTTTTTGTGGGGGTGCCAGGGCAGATTCCTGGGTTTCAATTAAAACGAGTATTGGCGAGGGATTTTCAACAAAAACCAGGCGCTTTAATAGGGGGGGGGTTTATTAATCCTGGGTCAGCATTAACTTGCCCACAACGTCAAGGAGGCTTCAATTTACGTGTTCAATCAGACACGCCATCATCATATGGCTGAGTTTTTAAGAGGCCGAAAGAAAAACTTTGGGCCCACTCCGTGGAAAACGCGCGCGCACACCCCGCATCTGCCGAAATGGGGCTATCGGGCTTGAGTAAGGTAGTGGAGGTGGCCTTCTATGTGGACATCAACTGCAATCAGCAGGCCGGAGCCTGTTTGGAGCTGGGTTCTTCGAAAAAAACCAGCGCAACTTGGAACCACGGCCCCAGAACACATGATGATTCTGGCACAGTTGTAGAACATGTGTTCGCATGTAGCGCCCTTCTTTTTGTATACTCCTACGTACCATGTTTTGAACCCCACGTCAACCCACACATCAACCGTTCTTTCGGCATGTTTGGGGCTCGGTTCGCTGCCCTTGTCGCTCGGCCAGCGCTCCGCTAGGTGCAGGGCGAGGCCGTGGCCTCGGGCCGCTGCGGGGATTGCGTGTGCCAGAACTCCGAAAAGCAGCTGGGCCCCTGCAGCCCGGAGCGCGCATGCGGCTGTCGGTCGTTCCCGGGCCCTTTGCCCCGGAAGGGCAAGGGCAAAAAACGAGGGGCGGAACGGGGCAGAATCCCCCACCACGCCCCCTCCCCCCGAAACAAAAATCCATGAAAAACAGAAGGGATCAGCTTTTTTGCAGATTTCCGGGCGAGGTTTGGGGGGGCCGCTTGCCCATTATTCTGGAGAAGGAACTCCCGCATTCTTTCCAACCATCCTTCTTTTCCAAAGCCGATCGCTGTTTCCCCAAAAGCCGGTGGGTTTTAGAATACCAGGATGCCTTGGAAAGAATGGAAATGGAAGGTACCCCTAGATGTATGGGTGGCCTAACCCATGGTTTTTCTGGGTCGCCTTCAGGAGCTCGCCTTCGATGGCTACTGGGACCCCTCCCGCCTGCAAGCCCAGTGGATTTCCCAATGCGAGCCACGGCTGCATGAGACACGTGGATTTCGCAGCCGTATGGCTCCCAAAATGGATGGTTTTCCATTTTCGGCAAGGGTACCAACTCCCCAGAAGGACACACCCAGCTAAAAAAGCCACTAGAAACCGATTTTTTGGCATCCCTTTGAAACGGTTTGTGCCAGATGATTGTGGTTTTCCTCATTGTATGAAGTGTCCCACTGCGGATTACGGAATAGGACCCGCTCCCCCATTGTGATAAAATCAACGACCAATATTTATTGTCATTTGGCCCACTGGCCAAAATGGCACGAACACCATGCCGTAAACATATCTTGGTGCACAGACCCCTTTGGGAAGACGAAACCTTTCAGAAAAAACGGTGAAGACGTGCTAATCATGTTTGTTGCTGGCCACCAGAAAGGTGTTTGATGTATTAAAAAAGCACGCTTTCATAGAAACTGGGGTAGACTTAGGATTCATTTTTTTACATTTTACCAGTGACTCTTTAAAGGGAAACAAACAATAGAATATACATTCTATTACTCCTAAGTCTAATGACAGAAACTGTTTAAAACGGAATCTCCGTTGGATGTCGACTCGTGGCTGGAGGTCTCTGGGCTAGCAGACCCGGCGTGTGCTCCGGGGGAGGCATGGATTGGCCTACAGGCGGGGCGGTGTTGGGTGTGTTTGCTCGAATTTGCCGTCAAGATGGGAGAATCATGTGCATCTGGGTCCCCCAGCAGTGCCCCTTTACCGTTTCTTTCTTGGGGGGAGGGCTCCCCTACTAAAATAGACTACCTTATTCTAACCTCTCTACTGGAGGACCTAGGCATAATTTGGTGGCTTGGTTACTTTTTGCGACAGGAATTATAGGAGAATCATGTGATTTCGGCCCCCTATTTTACCCGGACCTGCCCCTTGTGTTGGCTCCAAATTCCAACCCTCAAGTTTCGGGGCCTTTAGAGAAGGATGGCTTTCGTCTTTCAAACCATGCCCACGGGGGAGTTTGTCAAGGGACCAGGCACCTATGGGACCCTGTTTGGCCTACCTAGGCCCTATGAATGTTGCTATCAGACTCCATGAATATTGCTATTGCGCTATTGGGATTGGGGTTAAGAGCCTTGTGTGAGGTCCTTGTGGCCCCTGCATTGTTTGACCCTTTCGGGCTATTAAAGTTAGAATCAACACTTGTTTTCATCACAACTCGCCACGCAGGGGTGATTTATCAATGGCAACCTCATGCGGCCCGTTCTTTCCTGAAAACAAACGGTTCGGTATGGAGTCATTTCTTCTTCCCCAGAAGATGTTTTGGTTACCTATATGCCCACCATATCGACGACAGCCAGTCTGGGGAAGGTGGTATTAGTCGAGCGAAGCAAGTAGGGCAGACGGACCAAATCTCATGGCCTGCTAGGTCCCCCAGCTAGGTGCCCTTTTATCCTTTTTGGGGGGAGGGTTCCCCTACTAAAATAGACGACAGAAAAAAGGGTACCCGTCTACAAACCTCTCTACTGGAGGACCTAGCACCACTGGATTTTGGCTGATGTTTTGTGGAGGCGGAGGGCTAGAATGTCTAGAATCATTTTGGGCAGGTCAAATCAAGGGCTCGAATCCCTCCTCCGCGCTTTTTGGCCCAGATCTGGTTTCAGGAGCTCATGGGGCAGCGGAGCCCGCAAACTTCCGCTTCAGCGAACTTGCTGGGCAGAAAACGTTTGGGGCAGCTGGCTTTCGCACTCCCCTCGTGGGTTTGGCTCAAAAGGCGCTTCGGGTTTCGGTTTGACACTACAACCCCAAAAAAGGGTACCGAGCCTCAAAATAAGACCTGTATGAAGAGCGAACATAGGGATATGGAAGCCAGGTCTGGATGTTTGCTGTTCAAGGAGAAACTCAAAGGACACCATTGGCACAGCGCCGCTGCAATTGGACCGCGCCTCCATCTGATGTTGGGCATGTTGCCTTTGCCAGATTTGGGCATGAGACCCTTTGTTTGGACGAATTATACACGGCTCGCCGAGTTGGGGTCAAAATGAGCTCACCCAGGATGAAAGTTTACTGGGGGGGCTTTGAGTTTCCAGCCTGGCAGTTGTTGGCAATTTGCCCCGGACTTGGCGAGACTCGCAGCTCTCGAGGTGCACGCAACGAGCGAAGTCCGATGTGTTCGGCTCCTGCAATCTGCGGATCCAGACTACATGTCGCGCGAGGCGGCGTCCTTGCGGCTGCGTCTGTGTGTCAATGGCATGTCAGGGCCGCTTGCTTGATGCTTAGCCATCCTTGAAGACACGGGCCCGCCCTGTGGATGATGCTCAGCACTGGCGAGAGCGACCCTGTTTTTTCCCCCTGTTTTAAAGGTGGATGGGTGGATGAGTGGGTTTTTCTGTTTTCTTAAGGGGGTTCTCTTGTTTGGTTGCTCCTGTTCTTGGAAACCGCCCCTTTTTTGGTCGCCCTTCCTTTGTTTCGTGTTTTGGGACTTCGAAACGTTGCCGTTCTTCGGGGCTTCTGGTCTTAGTTTTTCCCCTATCCCTTTTCTGGGATGAGAAGTACCCACAAGAAGATCTCAAGAACTCGGTGGGCTGTGTGTGTGTGTGTCGTTTTTTGGGAATCGGGCCGGGGCCAAAAAAAAGCTCAACAGCTCCACCATTTGTTTTTTGGGGGTTCTCAATCTTTGCTTGGTGGCTGACAGCCTAGCTTTTTAGCCTTTTAGTGTTTAGTGGTAGTTTCCATTTAACCCACTAAAAGTTAAACTTTTAGCGGGGGATCCGACAGCCCAGATTGGAAACACCCGCTTGACTCTGTTGCCACCGGCAGGTCTCGCTGGAAGCCATTAATGCGGAGGGGTTGTGGGAAGTCCTGGCAGAGTCCTTCGGCCGGAAGTTCCAGTCGCATGGGACGGAGACGGCTGCGCGCGCTTGTTTTTTGTTGGTGTGTGTGTATTTCTTGGTTGCTGTTGACCCCCCTGCAAGAAGTTTAACTTTTTGGGGGTTTAGTGGACAACACCTTTATTTCCCAAAAAGTTAAAGTCTAAAGATCCAACCCCCTAGCAGTCAAGAAATGTGTCCGGTTTTGTGGGCGTGGTGGATACCCCCTTACAAATTAGCATGGGTTCCCCCACAAGAGGGGTCGCCCAAAACGAGCTTCCTCTACAAATGGTGGTATTTTGGGCTCCATGTTAATCTGTAGGGGAGGAAGTTGATCTTAGAGTCACTCTCTTTGATACCCAAGGTAGGCCCTCAGGGACATTCTGTAGTCATAGGGATGGCAATCAACCGGCAGATGGCATCACAGATTGTTGGTTGCCCATTTCCCACATCCATGCGAGGTCTTTTGCTGGGGACCTACTTTTGGTTGGTGCTCGAGGGAAACAAAGGGAAACTTCTGCCATCTTGTGGCCTGATTGTTGAGAGACACCCTGGTGTCTTTTTCAACTGCCCAGAGATTCAGTGCGCGTGTCTTTGAGACATAGAGGCAAACCGCCTCACAATCCAGCCACTCTTCGTGGTTGGGGAGAACAGCCCAAGACAAAACTCAAAGGAAGACAACATGTTTTCTGAGGTTCAGTGTGGTGCGTGTGTTTGTCAGGTCTACTAGGCAGACATGATAAATCAGGATGTCTCATTCCGTTTCACCATTTCGAAATGGCATCTACCGTTTGGGTTATCCAGTTGGCCTCCTTTTTTAACCAAGGTGAACACAGTACCCTCACAAGCAAACACACACACACACACACACAGTGCTATGTTTTTCATTCAATAGGAAGCTGCCTCAACATGAATCCCCACCGTAAATGATGTCCACCAAAAGGTCCCCAATTAAAACCCGTATTAGTCGATGGTGTATTTGGAAGGGACGGTGACAAGCTCCAACCTCCACCCACCAGAAAGCAATCCCATTTTTTCCCACGGGAACCCATATGCGCTAAGTCAACCCACCCAAAAGGGGTCCCCCCCAAACCAAAGACGTACCCATCGCAGGTATACCAACCTGCAGGGCGCCGTGATTGAAAACGGCACCTACCGCTGGGACGAGCTGCTGGTGCCGCAAGCCGGGAACCAAGCCAGAGTTTGTGTCGAAACAGGATATGTGCTCTTTTTTGTCTCACTTCCTGAGTTGATGGACTTTAAACTTTTTGGAAGGACCATTTTAGTGTTAAATAAAAAGTTCAGACTTTTTTTGGCCAGTCAACTTGGGAAGTGAGTTGTTTCGGGGGAATCGAAGTAATCTAGTGACAGTAATTTCGCCATGCCCCCTCCAAATGGATTTTTTTGGACTAGGCTTTGACGTTGGGACACCAAACGGAAACTGTCCTTGTGAGACGCCTCCATATGTGTGTCTTTTGAGTAGTTGGTCCCCTTTTTCCGGGGTGGTTGGACCCCCATTTTGAGAGACACCTAAATAGGATATGGAGCCGCTCAGAAAAGTCGGGTTCTGTTTGACTTCCTGGCAATCCGAAAGAGGCACGCTGATATGGCTTGGAACATCCAATTATGTTGTGTTGCTTGGGAAAGGATGCTGTGGATGGTCGCGAAATCCATTTCGCACCACGTAAGAAACCCTGGAACCATGATTCCATTCCCCTCTAAACACCAACAACCAATTATTTAATGGCCTGCGGCCTGGTTCCGCCGCCCCCACATGCACAGACCCGTTCGCGGACACGAAGACAGACGCAGATACGTAGACAGACACAGACAGCCACAAAGACACGCAGACAGACACGCAGCGGGGGGGGGAGGGTCTTCGCGGACACGAAGACAGACGCAGATGCGTAGACAGACACGGACAGAGCCAGACAGACACAAAGAGACACAGACAGACACGGAGCGGGGGGGGGGGGACACGAGACAGACGCAGATACGTAGACAGACACAGACAGACACAGACAGACACAAAGAGACAGAGACAGACACGCAGGGGGTCTTCGCGGACACGAAGACAGACGCAGATACGACGCGTAGACAGACATAGACAGACCCGGGGGGGGGGGGGGGCGGAGGGGTGGGGCTGGACTACCCGAAGCCTAGGGAAGAAACGCGATTGAGTCCTTGGTCCCGAAACACTATCGGAAGACTAGGAGAAGAAGCCGAAAGATTACGGACGACTACGGGAAGAAGCCGAAAGATTACGGAAGATTACGAGAAGAAGCCGGAAGACTACGGAAGACTGCGGGAAGAAGCCGGAAGACTACGGAAGACTACGGGAAGAAGCCGGAAGACTACGGAAGACTACGGGAAGAAGCCGGAAGACTACGGAAGATTACGGGAAGAAGCCGGAAGACTACGTGAAGACTACGGGAAGAAGCCGGAAGACCACGGAAGACTACGGAGATCCAGCAAACCAGAGATCCAGACATCCAGGAAAGGGGGGGGAGGGGTGGGGGGGGGGAACCAGAGATCCAGAGATCCAGAAATCCAGAAATCCAGAAATCCAGAAATCCAGAGATCCAGAAATCCAGAGATCCAGAAATCCAGAAATTCAGAAATCCAGAAATCCAGAGATTTAGCAATCCAGAACTCTAGCCGACGTAGAAACCAGCCCCAAGGGCCGCCTTAAGGGACATATATATATATAGACATATACATCATTATATTCACATTAAACTTATAGAAAGCACATCAACAAAAGTAACACGGAACACACCGCCCCCCTGCTGAAAGCATGGTCCATTCTGGACCAGGCATGGGGTCGGCGGATTTCAACCATGGTTCGTCCTTCCACAGTATTATCTCCGTGCTGGTTTGGAACAAGCATAATTCCAATGTTTCCCATTTCCAATTGAAACTCATGCTCATGTCTGATCTATGCGATCCGAGTCTCTGTGTGGCAAGAAGAGGCGCTTTTCATGACGTCTCAGACGTCATATTTCGCACATGACACCAGGCCTGCTCGGCCGCGGTGCATTGCAGCGGCCACGGCAGACCTCTAGGGCTTCCTGGGAGTTGCAGCTGCGAGTGTGCCTCGGCTTTGAGGTTTCCAAGGCCATCTAGGTCCCCCAGCTAGGTGCCCTTTCTCTCCCCTTTTTTGGTTGGGAGGGTTCCCCTACTCAAATAGACTACAGAAAAAGTTGGCAATTACCCTTATTCTAACCTGTCTACTGGAGGACCTAGCCATACTGGACGGATGGTGCTTTTCCCAGTACCAAGCATAGGTGGTCAAAATTAAACCAATAGGGGTTACGCAGGTTGTGGTCCATGTTTCCATTTGCCAGGGTTGCATTCTGGGTACCTGTTTTTTGAGCCACAGCCAGGTGAGTTTGGTTAAACATAGATGGCACTGGCTTAGATGCAGGGCCATCTATTTTTCCAAAAGGCCACATATGTTTCCAAGGCCAGTCTGCGGATGGTGACTCTCCCAGCATTCAATCGGGTTTCATCCATTCCAACTGGTGCGAAGTAGGCCTTTGTCAGGTCAGTTTGGTTGAAAGATGGATTTCACTGCAGGTTCAATTTGTCATTCTTCACGTACCAGCCATTTGAACGGACTCCGTTTTGCCAAAGATTTGGTTTTTCTCCAAAGGGGCTGGGGGCCAGTGATCCAACGGGCCAAACCATTGGTTGAAACCTACTTCCAAAGATATCCAAACATGGAACTAACTCAGCAGCCAGTTGCGAGTTCACTGAGAGTTGAATGTTGGTATGTTGGTACAGTTCTGCTACCAGGTGCGGCGCGCTAGTTGAGAGTTGACCAATTCAGAGAGTTGAATGTTGGCATGTTGGTACAGTCCCGTTGCCAGGTGCGGAGAAGAAAAACAAATCCGCTTTGCATGGATTTGCCACGGCGGTTTCTTGAATGCCACTTTTGGAGTTGGACATTTGGACTCGGGCGCCGGTTTGCAGTTTGCTGTGCTGGGCGTTTGGTCGCGCTTGGTCCGGAAATCACATCCCATAGTCTTCCATTTGCTTAAGACAATTTTGTTATTTTCCCCCTGTTGGTTTTAAAGGGAATCTATCACTACTGGACATGTCCTATTTTTTTCCAGGGGCGCAACAGCAAATGGCGGTTCTGGCTCGGCCGTTCCGCATGAGGCCACGAAGGCTTCGCGGGGCCAACCTGCAACATTTGTCGTACAGGTTACCTGTCGCAGCTCGGCTTACCCGTGCCACGCGAGTTTCGGTGACGTCTGGGGGTGGATTCCTGGGGGAAAGTAGTAGGGGTGAGAAAGGGCACTACTGGAAAACTTAGGGGTTGATTCCTCCATTCTTTTTTAGCCAAAAACCAGCTTTTCCTGGGCTCTGGTTTTCTGAAAAGATCTGGTTCTCTTCTGGTTCTCTTCTGGTTCTCTTCTCTTCTGGTTCTTTTCGAAAACCGGAAACCTGTTTCCCCTGGTTTTTTTTTTGCCGGTTTTGTGAAAAGATCCGGATCCCTGGGGTTGCTGGAAATGGACGAAGTGTCCCCTATGACTTTGGGGTTGCATCCCTTTGGTTTCTGGCGGCCAATCACCCCGGATTGGCCTTGCCTTGCAGAGGAAAAAAGCCCTGGGTTGAAGCCTAGGGGAACTCGGAAAATGGGACGGGGCTCCTTAAAAGATACGTCCATTTTGCAACCAAATGAGAAAACATGGCTGGCTTTTTCAACACCAACATAAAGTTGGAAACCACCATGTACAAGTTGTAATGTTCAGGTGTATAATGTAAGGATCCCTGTGGAACCCTGGGCGAGAGAGGACACTGCCAGGGCTCTGGCTGAAGCAGCAGAGGGCGCCAAATGCGCCATGAGTTCCTGCAACTGCATTCGGACTGCAGAAGATGGACTCGTATGCGTTTTTTTTTTTTTCTTTTCCGCATTGGGCGGCAGTCAGTACGAGGGTCTTGCTTCGAGCCTCGAAGTGAACAAAGATCATGTTCATGCCCTTTCGTCGTTCAACCGGTTTCAAGTGGCTCAGGTATCCGGACTGCGCCCCCATGCCCTCCACAAGCATTGCCTGGCGCCTGGTTGGCTTAGGCCAAAGAAGCTGGCACGTGCAGGACACCCACCACGGACTTTTCTTTTCACACGCGGAGGGAGAGTCAACGTCCCAGGGGTGCTTCTGCTGCAGCCTCGAAAAGATGACACAATTGGCATTGGAGGCATTTTTGCTTCCTCGGAAGCCAATTGTCACTTAAGTATTGCCAGTACTTACGTCAGTATTGTCAATACTATTTAAGTATTGCCAGTACTTACTTTAGTATATCCAATTCTACTTAAGTATTGCCAAGGCTGACTCTCAGATTCCCAGTACTTACTGTAGTATATCCAATTCTACTTAAGTATTGCCAAGGCTGACTCTCAGATTCCCAGTACTTACTGTAGTATTTCCTATTCTACTTAAGTATTGCCAAGGCTGACTCTCAGATTCCCAGTACTTACTTTAGTATTTCCTATTCTACTTAAGTATTGCCAAGGCTGACTCTCAGATTCCCAGTACTTACTTTAGTATTTCCTATTCTACTTAAGTATTGCCAAGGCTGACTCTCAGATTCCCAGTGCTTACGTCAGTATTGTCAATTCTACTTCAGTATTGCCAAGGCTGACCCTCAGATTCCCAGTACTTACTTTAGTATTTCCTATTCTACTTAAGTATTGCCAAGGCTGACCCTCAGATTCCCAGTGCTTACGTCAGTATTGTCAATTCTACTTAAGTATTGCCAAGGCTGACCCTCAGATTCCCAGTACATACGTCAGTATTGTCAATTCTACTTATGTATGGCCCAGGCTGACACTCAGATTCCCAGTACTTACTTTAGTATTTCCTATTCTACTTCAGTACTGCCAAGGCTGACCCTCAGATTCCCAGTACTTACGTCAGTATTGTCAATTCTACTCAAGTATTGCCAAGGCTGACCCTCAGATTCCCAGTACTTACTTTAGTATTTGCTATTCTACTTAAGTATTGCTAAGGCTGACTCTCAGATTCCTAGTACTTACTTTACTATTTCCTATTCTACTTAAGTATTGCCAAGGCATACCCTCAGATTCCCAGTACTTACGTCAGTATTGTCAATTCTACTTAAGTATTGCCAGTACTTATGTCTGTATTGTCAATTCTACTTAAGTATTGCCAAGGCTGACCCTCAGATTCCCAGTACTTACGTCAGTATTGTCAATTCTACTTAAGTATTGCCAAGGCTGACCCTCAGATTCTGACCCTCAGATTCCCAGTATTTCCTATTCTACTTAAGTATTGCCAAGGCTGACTCTCAGATTCCCAGTACTTACTTTAGTATTTCCTATTCTACTTAAGTATTGCCAAGGCTGACTCTCAGATACTTTAGTATTTCCTATTCTACTTCAGTATTGCCAAGGCTGCCGCTCAGATTCCCAGTACTTGCTTTAGTATTTCGTATTCTACTTAAGTATTGCCAAGGCTGACTCTCAGATTCCCAGTACTTACTTTAGTATGTCCAATTCTACTCAAGTATTGCCATGGCTGACTCTAAGATTCCCAGTACTTACGTCAGTATTGTCAATTCTACTCAAGTACTGCCAAGGCTGACTGTCAGATTGCCAGTACTTACTTTAGTATTTCCTATTCTACTTCAGTATTGCCAAGGCTGACTCTCAGATACTCTAGTATTTTGTATTCTACTTAAGTATTGCCAAGGCTGACCCTCAGATTCCCAGTACTTACTGTAGTATTTCCTATTGTACTTAAGTATTGCCAAGGCTGACCCTGAGATTCCCAGTACTTACTTTAGCATTTTATAGCATTTCCTATTCTACTTAAGTATTGCCAAGGCTGACCCTCAGATTCCCAGTACTTACGTCAGTATTGTCAATTCTACTCAATTATTGCCAAGGCTGACTCTCAGATTCCCAGTACTTGCTCTAGTATTTCCAATTTCACTTAAGTATTGCCAAGGCTGACTCTCAGATTCCCAGTACTTTCTGCTTAAGTATTGCCAAGGCTGACTCTCAGATTCCCAGTACTTACTCTAGTGTTCCCAATTCTACTTAATGATTGCCAAGGCTGACTCTTAGATTCCCAGTACTTACTTTAGTGTTTCCTATTCTACTTAAGTATTGCCAAGGCTGACCCTCAGATTCCCAGTACTTACTTTAGTATTTCCTATTCTACTTAAGTATTGCCAAGGCTGACCCTCAGATTCCCAGTGCTTACGTCAGTATTGTCAATTCTACTTACGTATTGCCAAGGCTGTCTTTCAGATTCCCAGTACTTACGTCAGTATTGTCAATTCTTCTTATGTATTGCCCAGGCTGACTCTCAGATTCCAAGTACTTACTTTAGTATTTCCTATTTTACTTCAGTACTGCCAAGGCTGACCCTCAGATTCCCAGCACTTACTTTAGTATTTCCTATTCTACTTAAGTATTGCCAAGGCTGACTCTCAGATTCCCAGTACTTACTTGAGCAATTCCTATTCTACTCAATTATTGCCAAGGCTGACTCTCAGATTCCCAGTACTTGCTCTAGTATTACCAATTCTACTTAAGTATTGCCAAGGCTGACCCTCAGATTTCCAGTACTTACGTCAGTATTGTCAATTCTACTTAAGTATTGCCAAGGCTGACCCTCAGATTCTGACCCTCAGATTCCCAGTATTTCCTATTCTACTTAAGTATTGCCAAGGCTGACTCTCAGATTCCCAGTACTTACTTTAGTATTTCCTATTCTACTTAAGTATTGCCAAGGCTGACCCTCAGATTCCCAGTACTTACTTTAGTATTTCCTATTGTACTTAAGTATTGCCAAGGCTGACCCTCAGATTCCCAGTACTTACTTTAGCATTTCATAGCATTTCCTATTCTACTTAAGTATTGCCAAGGCTGACCCTCAGATTCCCAGTACTTACGTCAGTATTGTCAATTCTACTCAATTATTGCCAAGGCTGACTCTCAGATTCCCAGTACTTGCTCTAGTATTTCCAATTTCACTTAAGTATTGCCAAGGCTGACTCTCAGATTCCCAGTACTTTCTGCTTAAGTATTGCCAAGGCTGACTCTCAGATTCCCAGTACTTACTCTAGTGTTCCCAATTCTACTTAATGATTGCCAAGGCTGACTCTTAGATTCCCAGTACTTACTTTAGTGTTTCCTATTCTACTTAAGTATTGCCAAGGCTGACCCTCAGATTCCCAGTACTTACTTTAGCATTTCCTATTCTACTTAAGTATTGCCAAGGCTGACCCTCAGATTCCCAGTGCTTACGTCAGTATTGTCAATTCTACTTACGTATTGCCAAGGCTGTCCCTCAGATTCCCAGTACTTACGTCAGTATTGTCAATTCTTCTTATGTATTGCCCAGGCTGACTCTCAGATTCCCAGTACTTACTTTAGTATTTCCTCTTTTTTTTCAGTACTGCCAAGGCTGACCCTCAGATTCCCAGCACTTACTTTAGTATTTCCTATTCTACTTAAGTATTGCCAAGGCTGACTCTCAGATTGCCAATTTTACTTAAGTATTGCCAAGGCTGACTCTCAGATTCCCAGTACCTACTCTAGTATTGCCAATTCTACTCAATGATTGCCAAGGCTGACTCTTAGATTCCCAGTACTTGCTCTAGCATTGCCAATTCTACATAAGTGTTGCCAAGGCTGAATCTTAGATTCCCAGTAGTTACTCTAGTATTGCCAATTTTACTTAAGTATTGCCAACTCTGACTCTCAGATTCCCAGTACTTACTCTAGTATTGCCAATTCTACTCAATGTTTGCCAAGGCTGACACTTAGATTCCCAGTACTTGCTCTAGCATGGCCAATTCTACATAAGTATTGCCAAGGCTGAATCTTGGATTCCCAGTAGTTACTCTTGTATTGCCAATTTTTCTTAAGTATTGCCAAAGCTGACTCTCAGATTCCCAGTACTTACTCTAGTACTGCCAATTCTACTCAAGTATTGCCAAGGCTGACTCTCAGACTCCCAGTACTTACTCTAGTATTGCCAAATCTACTTTTGTATTGCCATGGCGGACTCCAAGATTCCCAGTACTTACTCTAGTATCACCAATTTTACTTTTGTATTGCCAAGGCTGACTCAGTTAGATTCCCAGTGCTCACTTTAGTATTGCCAATTCTACAGAAGTATTGCCAAGGGCGACTCTCGGATTCCCATCACTTACTTTGTCATTGCCAATCTTACTTTAGTCATTTAGTATTGCAAAGGCCCATTTTTGGCCCAAACAGTTTTACACTAGAGAGGACCCAAAACAGTCACACTGAGGATCAGAGCAACCCGTTTTGTGTGACTCTTTGAACTTACTTTTTGTAAATAAGTTAGCACATTTATGTTTTGGGGACCACTTCCAAAAACGAATTCCTAATGTTTGCCCGGATTTGTTTGCTTGTTTTTTGCTAGACTTTGTTGGCCAGTTGCTTCTAGCTCGGAATTTTTCCCCGGCACTTTTTGTCGGCAAACAACCTTGCCACAATAGAGGGCCCCAAAACAGCCACAGGATCCTGAATTAGGAAAACAACTTGACACAATAGAGGCCCCTATCATTCAAACGGGTGTAACATTACCATTACACTTGTGCCAGAAATTTCGGCCATCCTGAAGACAAAGGGAGATTATCGGCTTTACTTTCCTGTTTGCAGATGGCAGTAGACAAAATGATAGATTCAATCAAAGCCTTGGTACATCAAGCAGAGAATTGGCACTGGCGAGATTCCGCCCTTGAGATGCAGCACGGGTGTTGGGGATTGACGTTTTTGAACGCCAGGTTTTCATTTGTCGGGTGTCTAGGGCGGTTTGCTTGCTAGGGCATGCGGCAGTTTGCAGGTAAACGCATCGTCAACAATCAGTTGGAGGCCCTTGTTGTTTCCTTTTCCCATGTTTTGACTCGATTGACACTTCGGCTTCTTTTCGTTTCAAGGCCACACGAGCCCTAAACAAAAAAGTGAGACACTCATGGACGCACCATTCTTCGATTGACCTCAAAGTCCCGAGCACACCTTTGGAGCGTTCCCCAGCCGAGGATTCCCTAGGGTGTCATTAGAGTGACAGTGCCCATTATGGCAATATGGCAATATGAAGACAAGTTGTCAGATGTTCACATAAATTCTGCTTAAGTAGATGGCCCCTTTTAAGGTTTCTGTTGCTGGGCTGTGGGGCCGGCAAAGGGCTTTCTGGTAGGCTTTTGACGTTTGAACCCTCCGTGCTTCGAGCTGGTTTGCTGACTGGGGTGGGGTACTCTGCTTGTGCAATCAGGGGGTTTCTCTTTTGCGCCTCTCAGTATGGCTGGTCTCTGGTGTGACATTCGTACAGACCTGGGGGAAAAGCTGGTTGCTGAGTCGGGAATGGGAATGAAGCGGAAGGATATTCCTAGGACGCCTCCAGTTGGATAGACCCATTTTCTAGGAAGCCACCACTTGGAGGGTATTTTCGGGGCTTCCCTTCACGGAACCCACCACTCGTGTTGTTGTTTTTCAGGCTCTCTCCCAAACGGGACCCATCTCCGCACCGATCTCCTCCCCCCCCGAGTCTCGCCTTGTGCGGCGCGACGCCCGCGCCTTCGGCGCGCAGGACGTGGCCTTCTTCGAGGACGCCCAGTGCCAGGCGTTGGCCTTTCCGATGGCCGGGGCCGAGTTCCTAGCCTCCGAGTGGCAGGCGGGAGCGATGCACAGCGATGCACCGCGCCTCCCTCGGGTTCCGTTTTTTTTTTTTGGTTGGTTCGAAGCCGAACTTTGTTTTCTTGGGGGGGCTTGTTCGAACCCTAAAACCGGGGGGGGGGGGTCAAAAAAAGGAGAGTCCGAAGAGTAGTGGAAAAGAAGGGTGCTTAAAGGTTTTCATTGGAGTCGAAAAGGGAGGAGGAATGGTTCATGTATTGCTAGGCACTGCTACGAACACTGGAGCACTGGCCCGAAAGTGTGAGGGTTCCAACCTATTCTAAGCTGACTCGTATGGACCGCCTGCAATTGGTTGGAGCTGGGCCTCAAGGTTCCCCGTTACGTGGCGAGGCCCAGCTTGTGGCCTGGCGAGTCATTGCCTCCCATCCCCCAACCTACCATCGAGAAAGGCGCACCGCGTTTGTAAGGGAGCCCCAGTTTTTGAAGATCTTCTATTTGGAAGGTCCTCGGTTGCCACTGCCGCGCATGGGTCATTGGGTCGTTCGTTCGGTGAGCTTGGTACATGGATGCCACTTTCAGTTTGGTTCTACTCATCTAATTTACCAGTGAGGTCTATGTTTTTAAGAGGGCCTCTGGAATTTCTACCTCGCTAAACATTGCAAGGGGGTTGTTTCGTTGGAGCCCATCTGTCAAGAGCTCCCCCTGGCAATTCAGTAGATGGATCAACGTTGGAAGCGACATCGGGGTTCAACCCCCCCTCAAGGCAGTCAGAAAAGGATCATATATGCCTTGGGATTTGTTTTTGTTTTTTCGCTCTGGCAAGAACCAAGTTTGATGGTGACTCAGGCGTGGCATCCACCAAAAGCCCTCCTTGGAAGGAGTCGGCGAACCTGGCGGTGTCCCCGGCACGAGCCTTCGACGCGGCTGGCGAAGGCACCACGTGGATTGGGAACTGCGGGGACAACTGCACCAAGGACCAGGGCTTCGGCAAGTTCTCCTAGCTCCCCCAGTAGTGCTCTTTCTCACCCCTTTTTTGGCGAGGGTTTCCCTACTAAACTCGACTGCAGAAATAAGAAACGGTACCAACTTATTCTAACCTCCCTACTGGAGGACCTAGTATCTTGAACCAACCAGACCCACCAAATATGGAAATCCAAGAAGTTCGTACAAGCAGAATTGCGAACATTTGGCCCAGCCCCGAGGAGCCGTTTATGAAGACAGGGTGCAGTCTGTATGCTTCAATCAAACCATGCTTGGAGCGCAAAGCGGGTCTTTTAATTTAGAGAGCCGCATTGAAGATACTTGGCATTCGCAGGGGTTGGGCAAGTTATTTGAATCACAATCACATATTCATATGTTTATCACCTTGCCTGACGATTCCAGGTGAGCATCTTGTTTCACCAGCCGCAAACTTGGTTTCCATTTACGGGCTTCTGGGCCAAGCTTGCGGGTCCGTAGTCTTGTCCCTGAAGGGAAACCCAAGGGAGGTGGCCCAGCCCGGCAGACAGCACATACATGTTGACTCGGCAAGTATATTTGCATTTTTTTTGGTGTCTTTTTCTGCCGACCCTGTCGTTTCGGACTATACGTCTTTGCCCTTGACTGACATGTCGAAGGACAACAACAAACAGAATCCTGGGTTTAGGGTTGCTGCTTGACCAAGCTGGTTGGGTTTTATGCTGGGCTGCTCAAAGGCGGTCCTGAATCCTTATCTGGGATGACGAACGATCTTCCCTTTGTGTCTTTTTTTCCCTCTTGGGATTATGGATGAGGATTCTTTGGTGCATTTTGCTTGGATGTTAGACTTTAACGTTTTGCCAACTAATGGGCTTTCCATTAAACCACTAAAAATTAAGCTTTTAGCAGGGGAGCAGATTTCGCAACCGAGGATTGGCCAGCCCTCTTATTTTTTTTTGCCGCATCCCAGGACCCCTGGGTGGGCGCACGGCTGCAACAGGCGGCGACTGTGCGGTGCGTGCGGCTCCTGCAAAGCGGCGGCTCCTTTGGGGCGGAGGCTGGAAATTGTAAAGACCGGAGCTCAGTGGGTGTAGATGGCAGGCGGAACTGGTTGAACTTTGGCGTTTGTTGAGCTTGAGCTTGGCGTTGGGCTTGGGGTGTAATTCGGGTGAAGGGAAACGACGTCCGCGTTTCCCTGGTTGAACTTTACTTTTCGACCAGCATCTTGTTGAAGCCAGGCCTCAAGGGTTTAGTGTGGGCTTTGCGGTTGTGGGTTGGCCAAAAGTGAAGCGGCCAACCCGTGGTGTTTTTTCATTTGGAAGTCAAAAGGTTCTTCGAGAAATCGTTGGAAGTCAGCACTCCAACATCCCGTTCAGCAGTGCCCTTTCTATTATTTTTTTTGGTTGGGAGGGTTCCCCTGATAAAATAGACCACAGAAAAAAGTTGGCGCCCTGTTTGTAACCGCTCTACTGGAGGACCTAGACTCACTTCCCCAACTTTTGACCACCTGACCTTTCGGTCGCCCAGTTTTCATCCAGTGAACCTTCTTTCTGTTTTCTATGTCTGGTCCATGGGTCAAGGTCCCAAGTGGTGGACCTTTACTTCCAGGTTCTTTGGGGTAAGTGTATCCGGAAACAGGTCACCTTGGGTTGAATCAGTGGCTTCAGCGGCTTCAGTCCCCAACTTTTGGGCGGAGGATGTGGCGTTGGAGCTTTGGCTGGGAGACTGGCGAGAGGGAGATGGCGAGGAGGACCGTCCAACGCTCTTTTTGGCTTTTTTGGTTATCCAAAGCCTAAGACCAAAAACCAAGGTTTGGATCCAAAAACCAAAGCACAACTTCTTATCTAAAAAAACTGGTTAATATTTTTTAGGTTTGATCCCTCATCCACCTGGGTTTCCAAAAAGAAAACAAGATCCTAGCTTGTGTTATGGCGCCTTACCAATAGGAACTAGGCTTTTAGTTTTGGCGTTACTTTTGGTGGCTTGCCAAGCTTTTCCTTGAAAGCCACTTCAAAGTAGATCCTGGGGAACACGTCAAAAGGTCGTTTCAAGTGAAGCACGCGGAAATCTGGAGGAGGACTCAAGGAATTTGAAATTGGGGTGTAGCTCGGTTGTAGCAACAAAAGTGGCCGTTTGCTTTTGGCTTTAACGGAAAGGAAAGTCAGTTATTGTAATTCGCTAACAGGGGACACACAGGGAAGAACCCGCTTTTCAAGGCAGAACATGTGTATCGCCTATCGTTGTTTTGGAGAAGGTGCCCTTTTGGGATTTCTTTTACGGGAAAGCAAAGGAAACCGATCAACATCCATTAATGGGGTGTCCTCGCAAGAGACTCACAACTGGGTTTCCTTGTTTCCCTTTCAAACCAAGCAAAAGGGGTTCCTCCCAAATTCATTTTCAAGCCAACCAAACCTGTGCTCCTCTCTGGCAAGGATGCGAATGGCAGCAATGCCAGCAATTGGAACGACAGCAATGAACATGCGAGTAATGAAAGCAATGAGAACCTGGGTCTGTTCAACAGCACCAGCAGTGGCCGCTGGTGGCGCGTACGCACCTGGCCCGAGCTCAGAAAACGCGGCAGACCCATCACTCTTCAGTTGGCCTGTGACGTCGGGCTGCCGGCTGACAACCATGTCCTGCATGACTGCAGCCAGGCAGGGTGGGGCCGGCAACATTGGTTTAAACAACCAGCCCCCGGCCCCCCTTTGACTTGACTGCAATTGGGTTGGATCTTTAGACTTTAACTGTTGGGGAAATACAAAGTTAAACTTTTGCAGGGGGCTTAACAGCAACCAAGTTGAAAGGCCACCAAAAGGAATTTTGTTAAAATGGTTTCAGGCTCAGCCCAGGATAAGCAGCCATGGCAGCATTGCAAAGCCTGGTGCGAGCCGGGATACACGGGGCCAGAGTCATCTTTCTTGTGCCTGGATGACTACACCTTTCGTGGCATCACCCCTGCCTGTGTGCCGAATGAATGTCGCCTGGGGATCCCCACGAGGCTTTGAAGCACTTTTGACTCGAAGTCTTCCCTTCCAAACAACACAAATGGTCACGAGCTCGCGCAGGTTCAGCGAGCTCACCATGAAAGTCCTTCGCTAGGAGTTCCCTCATTGTCAGTGTGTGAACAATAGACTGCTCAGAAGCACAACACGATTTTGACCCGATGTTGATCTGCTGGATCGATTTGCAAGAGATCATCGTCAAGCCCTTTCTTCCCTTCATACTGTTCCGCGGAAATCAACAAGAGGATTGAGTTCCGGCCGGTGGATGCAGTTTTTTCCGGCCCGCGGCCTGATTGTTTGTTTAAGCCAGGTTGGTCCGTTGGTTCGTTGGTTGGTTGGTTGGTCGCTTGGTTGGTTGATCGGTCGGTCGGTCGGTTGGTTGGTTGGTTGGTTGGTTAACTTAAAATGGACATCGGAGCAACGCCAAGCAACAGGAACCTAGTTTAAGCTTCCAAGTATCCTTGGGCCTTCCAGGACCCATGCCATTGTCCATCAGGAGTTGTCACCTCCAAATGCCAAAGCTTTACAGGAAGCGTGTCCTTCCCGACGGCCGAAGATAAACCTTTCAACTGTTGTGTTCCAAAGGCAACTCATTTGAGGTGTGTTAACCCCATTTTGGAGTTGGGAAGCCGACCGAGGAAGATACCCAACAAGACATGGTCCAGTTGCCCCAGCTTATTACTTGGTTCGATTTGGGACCATCCCCACTGAACCCGTTCTAGGGGGTCTAATCTGACTAGTCGGATTGATCTTGGTTTCCTTTCAAACCCATTCGTCACAACATCTCTTCAAGTTTGACCATTTGGCGTAGCTCAGATGAGCGTCTTAAAGACATTCTAAACAGGAAGCCCCCAGCGAAACTAACCAATCGCGTGGTTCCATATACCATTCTGTGTGAAGCTGGTTGTTTTGAATGTCTATTTATAGCCTACTGCATAATTGAAAGGAATAACTCCGTACCGACCGTTTTGAAAACTGACAGTATTGCTGGTAGTCTCCAGTTAGCTTGGGTACGACATCGGGGAAGAACCCGAATTTCATTGAAAAATCAAGCAACGGAGGAGCAAGGCAGCCATACACAAAATTATGTTGCTGTAGGAGTCTGCCTCAAATACCCACTCCAAATAAAGATACTCCCTCACATGGTTTTTGGTAGACGAGAACTCCAGACTGCATTGTGGGCTTTTGGCTTGCATCCATTCAGGAAGGAGTATAACTACAGGAATAGCTTTTTGTGCGCCCGGTGGTTCTAGGAAAGGTCCCCCAAAACCCCGGAGATGGTTTCCACCCCGTTTTCTCAGTGGGGATAGCGGAAACCATCTTAGACACGAGGGGCTTTTGTTTTTTTATGGTTTGTATGGTTGATACGCTTTGTGTATTGAACTTACTTCTTTCCATTCTTCTGGTTTCAGGAAATGTACCCCAAAGCTATGGTTTTAGGAAAGAAGGTCGCCAAATGAGGTACATTCCAAACCGGATCATACCCCTAAGCACGAAGGACGAACAGAGTGTGCTCAAAAACACAGGATGGTGTGCCGGGAAGCTGAAGGTACAGCTCCCACAGCTCCCGAGTGTAGGGAAGGTGGGCCCTTTTTGTATCCCAAGCGCTTCTTTTTTTTTGGCAGCGATCTCCTACCAAAACAAGCTGCGTGGAGGTTCGGCCAGGTTAGTGGTGAGCTGCTTGGGTTACCCTCTAATTGCAAGGTTGACCCCATTTGGGGGAGCATACAAATGGGTTATAACCTATAGCCTATTGGTGACCAAGAACAACTTACTAACTTGGCGAATCGATCACCCAAGTAAAACTTGCTGGTGCCCAGCAGGGAATGAGGGAATGACCCGTCTCAACCATCTTGTATGGTTTCCTCTATATAATCCCCAGCACCATTCCATTTCTCATTCCCTACCTATCGCACCAGCAAGAAGAGCTACTGTGGATGGACGAATTTCATTTCGCACCGCCAAGAAACCTGGAATGATAATTATCCTATAAAATACCGTAATAAACAATGGCTTCAACCATGGTTTCATTTCGTGGTGCGGTTTCGGATTTCGCAACCATCCACAGTATTGCCTCCCCCTATCCAAAATGGGACATGGACCCAACCGGGGCTCGTTGCTTCGGCTTTTCTGTGGAGCAGCCCTCCCGCACCTTCCTGGAATGATTATTCTTCTGTAAAATACCAACAAACCATGGCTTCCCATGGTTTCAAAGGTGGGGCCCACAGCATGGGTCCCGAAACGCCCCAAGAACATGTCCTTTTTAGGTGAGTTTGGTTAAAGATAGATGGAGCCCATCTATTTTTCCAAAAGGCCGCCTATGGCACCGAGTTGTTCCGACCAGGACGAAGCTACAACCCCCAAGCCACGGATGTCTTGCAGCTATCCCGCAACGCCCCAGGAAGGTGGGCCTCGTCCTCGCGGAGACCTGCGGCGGCCTGCGCACGGGGCAGAGCTGCACTGCCAGCTGCGCCAGCGGCTTCGTGGGGGAGGCGCGCGCGGCGAAGCGCGACGTCGAGTCGTCGAAGCGCGTGGAAGCGGCGCGTCGCCGGGTTTTTTGGGTTGGAAGCGCCCGTGGTTTTCAGGGTGACCCCATGGTTCGTCCATGGTTTATCCATGTCTATCCATGTTTATCCATGTTTATTTCGTGGGGGAATCACCATGGGTTTCCGGAACCCGAGGACTCAGACGGGACCGTACAAATACATGGGACCACCAACTCTCAAACGTCGGCAGCCCATCAGGGTCCCATAGTGGGACCACCACCCAAGACGGTCATCAAACGCAAAGGGCAAAGGGTCAAATCTTGTTGGTGGCGTTGGTGTGTGTGTGTGTGTGTTGGGTGGTTGCTTGGTTGCTTGGTTGCTTGGTTGCTTGGTTGGTTGCTTGGTTGCTTGGTTGCTTGGTTGCTTGGTTGCTTGGTTGTTTGGTTGGTTGCTTGGTTGCTAGGTTGTTTTGTTGGTTGCTTGGTTGCTTGGTTGCTTGGTTGCTTGGTTGCTTGGTTGCTTGGTTGCTTGCTTGGTTGCTTGGTTGCTTGGTTGCTTGCTTGCTTGCTTGCTTGCTTGCTTGCTTGCTTGCTTGCTTGCTTGCTTGCTTGCTTGCTTGCTTGCTTGCTTGCTTGCTTGCTTGCTTGCTTGCTTGCTTGCTTGCTTGCTTGCTTGCTTGCTTGCTTGCTTGCTTGCTTGCTTGCTTGCTTGCTTGCTTGCTTGCTTGCTTGCTTACGTGCTTGCCTACTTGCTTGCTTAAGTGCTGGCTTCTGTTTGTGTTCTTTTTTTATTTCTTGCTTTCTTTCTTGCTGGGTTTGTTTCCTCGTTTGTTTCTTTCTTAGTTTCTTCCTTAGTTTCTTTCTTTGTTTCGCGGTGTGTTTGTCTGTTTGGTTTCTTTGCCTTGTTTTGTTTTGTTTGTTTGGTAGATTTAACTGAGCACAGGGAAACCAACCAACGATTTCCGGGGGTGTCCCATGTTGCTGGCACCGCGACCCCCGCCCCCGGCCTGATGGCGAGGCGCTGGAGTATAAGTGCGAAGCCGACGGCTACCTCCGGGAGACCAAAAGCGGCCAGGCGCGGTTTCTTTTGACACCTACCTGGGTTGGCCGGTGGGTACCCGCTGGGTTTGGGTACCCGGTGGGTATGCGGCGGGTTTTCGGCTGGGCTTCCTGGGAATTTCTCAGGTGGGTCGGTTTCTGCTTGGTTTCCTGCTGGGGGCAAATCGATTCCTGAAATCTTTGAGGCCTATGGCCTGTCGTTTTGAGCCGATCTTGGATGATTTGAAATTCGGACCTTTGGGTTCCTTTCTCGATTTTTGTTTTTTTTGGTTCCTTTTTTTCTCCTTTTTTTTTTGGTTTTTCTCTTTAAAGGGCGCCCAACGGGACACCGAAGCCCACTTCATGGTTCCATCTCCGATTTGGAACTCTGCGCTTCGGCCGAAGGCTGGGGTGCTGCCTTCCTGCGAGTCGGCGCTGACTCAACTGGACGCCGAGATGACGGGCAGCGGCCGATCCCATTGGGCCCTGCCATGGTTCGTGGCGCTGCTGACGCTTTGACGCTTTCCGGCCTTTGAGTTGGCCGATCTGAAGGTGGGAGCGCGACTCGGCCCCGGAGTTGGCCGATCTGATCTGGGAATGGAAGGAGCGGCTGGTGTGACGTGTGCCCTGGTGCCGCGACTCGGCTTGGATCCGATCAGATCCGGAGCGCTACGTGCAAAGGGCTCCAGGAAGCCGAGCGATGCGATCCTCGAAGCCGGCCGCTGGGGATGGATCACAGCTGACTCAGAGTCGGGGAGTCGAATGGGACGTGTCACGGAGGAAGCGATGGCTGTGGCAAGCGGCAAGCGGCTGCATGGAGCTTTTGCATGGAGCGGTTGGCCTCGTTCTGCAGATTCACCGGTAGCCGAGAGCCTGCCAGGTTGCAGCTTTTAGATGCTGCAACCCACGATCGCCGACAATCGCACCCTGGGATTTCACATTCTTGATTGGAGGAGGCGGGCAGAATCCTGTAACAGCATGATGGCAATGGGGTGAAAGAGGTAGAATGCTCAAATCGGAAATGTCGCAGTCCACGAACATAAAGCGTTTGAGTGGATTCAGGCCGCTGTCTCGTACGAGCAGATCCAGGCCTGAGCATCGCAACGCCTGCTTTCACCATCATCACATGTACAGAGCCCAGGCGGCCGCCAGCTGTAATCCGCTGGGTTTCCAAGGGGAATGCAATGGCCCGCCAGCTTGAGAAAAGCCGACAAGTTCTGACTAGGTCCCCCAGCGAGGTGCCCTTTTACCAACTTTTTTGGGGGAGGGTTCCCCTACTAAAATAGACTACAGAAAGCAGAAACGGTACTCGCACCCTTATTCTAACCTCTCAAATCTGGAGGGCCGAGTTGAGGATGCATGGGCATGACTTCATCTCGATGGCAGCAAGGATCAAGGGTGCGGGTAGAGCATTGACGTATGCAGGCCCACGGCCTCCATCCTTTGGGTTCTACGCACGGAAGTGTGGAGAGGAGCTCGGCTGGTGGCGATACTTTGACATGCACTGGAGCACATGCAGGGCTTGGAAGCCTCCAGTCGGGCACTTCAAGAGGGCACACCGAAATGATGGTACCATCCATATTGCCTAAGGACACCGCACCGATGTGTCTCGCCTGTGCCGCATGGCAATGGCTGTGCAGCTGAGGCGCGGCCGCAGGCCGTCGAGCTGTGGGTTTTCAGGCGGCCATGGCTGTCATTGACCTGGGTGAATTGTAACGACCTTACACGACCGAATTCACCCCAAGTGGTGGTTTATGTGGGGAGCCCCCCAACCACCGCAAGTGTCAGGTTGGTGAAGTATTATAATTCACCCAGATGGCTTGGGCTCGCTCGCGTCTTCTTTTTAAAGGCCGGACAGCCTGGTGCGCGTGGCCCTGGGCAACGTGGCGTGGCTTGGCCTCGCTGGTTGTCCTCGGTCCTTTTCCAGCCTTGTCAAGAGGATGGTCGTCTTTCAACACCCTCCCCTCTGCTTCCATGATGATTGGAAACCGGGCGCTTGGCAAGCTGATCACTGAGGGAGTACTTATAGTTTGATGATTCCTCAACCTTGGCGCCTTAGGCCAGCCGCTTCTGGAGAAGAACCAGCTATGCCAGCTATGCCCAAATGTGTTGCTTCAAAGGGCAGAGTTCCCAGCGCAGATGCCTCTTTTGAGAAGATACTTCACGTCGCTCTGTTGATGAGGCCATTGACATACAATTGATTCAGACACGACCGCCATTCGTTACCTGTCAATTTGGACAAACGCGTTCGCACTCTTTCTCAGTTGCCCCTTAGTTACCCCAGAAGCAGCAACATCCCCCCACTTTACCCACTCTTCCAACACTAAAAGTGGCGCTTGTGAATCATTGCAGTCCGTCAATCTAGGTTTGAGGCAGAATTGACCCCTGTTTCTGTAAGTCTAGGACTGTGGACTCCTTGTAAAGTTGCTGTTTAAAGGGAAACCGAAAGGAAGCAAAACGTTGGAATGTCCCCCCCATTTTGAGAAACCCACATGTGCTTTGTGAGCTAATTTGCGGGGCCTGCCTTGGCGAATGGCACTGTTCAGCTGTTGGAATCTTCAGAGGGGTTGTACAGCGACCTTTTGAATGCTGGACTTCAAGGGTTGGGTTGGGGGGGGACTTTAAGCAGGTTGTGTCAACATGGAGCGACACCGAACAGCGAGTTCGGTGTTTCTTTTGGATCTCCTCCTTTTCCAAAGTGAATAAATATAACATCCCTTCATTAAAAAACAAAAACAAAAACAAAAACATAAAAGTATGATACCCCCCCCTCCCCTCCCCCCTCCCCTCCCCCCTCCCCTTTGGTTTTCACTCCGAGTCTGCGCCTGGCGCGATGCCGGCGCCTGGCCAGGGAGGCCAGCGATCGGTGTTCCGCCGGAATTTTACGTCCAGCGATCGGCTGAAACGGCCCACCCTTGCGATGTTCGCGGCCGTTTGCTTCTTTTTTTCTTTCTTTTTTTTTGGGGGGGGGAAACCTGATATGGAATTTTAGGGATTATGGTGTAAATGGTTGGCTTCTTCTTTTGGGGGGGAGGAACCTGAAATGGCATATTTGTTTTGGATTTGTTCTCCCATTGTGGCGAGTCACCTTTTTTTTTTTTTGGTGGGGGGTTGAAATGGCCTCTCGTGTTTTTGTTCTTCCTCTTCTGTTTTGGTCCGTCATGGCCTTTTTGAGGCTATGGTGTAAACTATAGAAATGTTTTTTCCTGGGCCCTTGAGCAAGTGAGGTTTTGGCGTAGTTATGCCACCTGTCCAAGGTGCTGGCTCTTCGGAAATGAGACAATGTAGACTCCAGGTGATTATGGCACGGGTGGAGGCAAAAAGGATCCAGGTGCACCAAAAAGACCCCCCCATCCCCCCAAAACATAGCAGATTTGTGTGTGTGTGTGTGTGTGTGTGTGCGCGTGTTGCTGAAAGGGAAACTTTGGGGGTCAAATATGCGAGGGGGAGAAGGGGGGTGCCTTCATTTTTCCTTTTCCAGCTTCAATACAAAACGAGTCACGATCCAGGGGCAAAACACTCTCACAATGAAGGTCCACTACTTACGAGTATATCCCCTAACTTGGAGCCTCTCTCTCTCTCTCTCTCTCTTTCTTTCTTTCTTTCTTTCTTTCTTTCGTTCTTTCTCTCTCTCTCCCTTTTTCTTTCTTCTCTCTCTCTCTTTCTTTCTCTCTCTCTCTCTCTCTTTCTTTCTCTCTCTTTCTCTCTCTCTCTCTCTCTCTTTTTTTTTTCTCTCTCTCTCTCTCTCTCGCTCTCGCTCTCGCTCTCTCTCTCTCTCTCTCTCTCTCCCTCTCCCTCTCTCTCTCGCTCTCGCTCTCGCTCTCGCTCTCTCTCTCTCTCTCTCTCTCTCTCTCTCTCTCTCTCTCTCTCCCTCTCTTCGGGCAAAGTGCGTGACGCGCGCTGCCTGTAGGGGTTTCCAAGGGGTGCAAACAGCCCGACCAGTGCGGGGGTGCCCCTGCACAACACTCAAGCACTACCTGCGGCACTAGAAACTGGGGCTGTGGCCAGCAGCTCCTACACTGGCGTCCTGAGTGTACGGATCCCAGGGTATGTGTCAATGTGTGCGTGCCTGTGTCTGTGCTTGTGTGCATGTCGCCCCCTGCCTGAGGAACCTGAGCTATGACTTACAACCATGGAACCCTTGGGCATGATAGTTGCTAGGCTGTTCGGATTTTGGCGACAAACTGTATGGGTTCCCCTTAGCGCAACCTTGATCCTGGCGTCATGCCACACGTGACGCATTGTTTGCGCATGCGCACGGCCCCCCCCCCCCCCGGCACTCAGACAAAAACAGACACAGGCACATAGACACAGGCAGCGAAAGGGTGCAATGGAATTTGTATGTGTCATGGCTTTGCATTTTGCTCGGATGTTATGACTTCAACTTTTTGCCAACTAATTGGTTTTCCATTAAACCACTAAAAGTTAAACCTTTAGCAGTGGAGCAGATCTCGCCACCGAGACGAGCAGTGGGCAACAGTGCCTGGGGTTTCGGTGGCATCCGTCCAGGGCCTGCCGCAGGATGTGGAGTTCTACCAGGCGCGACTGAGAGGTGAATTGCGCGGTTCGTTTTTTTGGGGGGGCCCGCTTTGGCTGTGTAGAGGGAATCCCAAAGGACATCCGCCATTTCAGGTTCCCCTATTCTGAGACAAGCACGTTTAAGACTGGGGCATTGCATGTTTCCGGTTTGAATGAAATATTGTGGCATAGTTTGCTCAGATCTTGTTGAAGGGCATGGCTGAGGTTTGGTCTGAGTCAGGCTATAGACTCACCTCTCACACGGCGACGGTTTCAGGTTTATTTTTTTTTATGTTTTTCCGGGCCATTTTTTGTCACGTGCCAAAAAAACAAGTCTTACCACCAAAGCCCCTGACGATTTGACGCCTTGGAACGGGTTCTGGGCCCTTAAGTGGAACCTTCAAATCCCCAGGGTCCACATTTCCCCGGCAGTGATGTTGCCAACCCAGTTCAGCAAGGCGAGGCACTAAAAAACGCGCCCAGTTGGCTCAGTTCTGCAAGAAGCCACCACAAACATGCGGCGCATTGCGACGGGTTTTTGTTCCAAGCAAGTTCGGTTGTTCAAGCTGCACAACCCCATTCAGATGTTTCGTGGTTGGTGTTGTTTTGTTTTTGTCGTCTTTTTTTTTGTTCTGTTACGTTTTTATTTTTATTTTTCTTTTTTTGGGGGGGGTCAGATTTTTCTATGTTGGTGTCTTTTCTCTTTTTGTTTTTGGTCTGTATTCTTTTTGGGTGGGGTGGGTGGTGTCTGTCTTCGTGCCCCGGCCCCCGCTGCTTTGCCCAGGAGTTCATGACGCATGTGGCCACCATGGAGGCCTCTCGGGTTGATTCAGCGGAGAGAGATGCCCAGCGTTTTGTCTGGGGAGAAACGGGGCCGGGGTAAAGGAAATCCAGTGGCTGAAGCGATCTTGTTTATTATTATTATTATTTTCACCTGTTGAAGTTTTAAAGGGAATCTCTCACTCGTGGAAATATGTGCTTTGTTTTGTTCCAGGGGACTTAAGCCAATGAAAGGTCGACATGAAGTCTATCTTGGGCTCGAGAAATGGAACCCGCAGTTTTTGTTGACCTCCGTTTTTTACAAGGCGAGTTTGAGAAAGCTGAAGGTTTTCAGCCGGACACAGGGATTTCCACTTGGAATAATTAGCTCTGCGAGAACCTAGTCTGGTTGAACACCTGGATGTGAAGCACCAGAAGGCTTGACTGCTACTGGGTTGGATCAAACTAGACTGAACAACTTTTTGGGTAAGAAATATTGGGGTGTTTTCCGTACTAAACCCCCAAAAAGTTAAACTTTTTGCAGGGGGGCGTTGCAGCAACCAGGTAGGGAACCTATCAAGGAAGCCCCCTATCATGGGCCACTTCTTGGGAGGTTGGGCTTTTTGGACACTGGTTGTGAAAAAAACCACAGTTTTAGGCTGCCATTTCTGTGCGTGCCCAAGGGAATCCTTTGCAAAGTGAGACAGTTGTTGTGGGGATGGCCAATTTACATATGGGTGTGGCTCAAAATGACACAGGAGGGGCAAACCGCAGGTTTTGGTCCATGTTTCCACTTCGCAGGGTTCCATTTTGGAATTCCGGTTTTTGGAGCCACTGCCATATCATAAAAAGAACAATTTTCCACAAGCCTTGCGGGCACTCATGTGTGCAGCATCCG